GATGCAGTGAAGGCTTGTGTAATTAAGCATTAAGTGCAGGTAATCTACTGATCTGGTCTGAGAGCTACAGCATTTAATGGAGGACAGTATTTCAGATTTGTGTCTCTAAGTGAGGTACTGCCCTTAAGCATTATATATTTGCATTATATATTTCCATTAGGCAGAATATATTTTGCCATAATCTGGCAAAAGTTTCAGAAGCTGCTTTGAAGACAGCAGTGATAGGAATGGCAGCATGACAACACAGTAAGGCACTGAAATACAGAGCACCTATATTGACTCTGCAGGGAGCCTGACACTAAGCTCTTTGAATTAATCAATGTATGTGTCTCCCTGGTGATTAAAAACACACACGGCCACTGAAAGGTCCAGAATTTCATAAGCTTCCTATCTGTGGAGAACAGAAATGACTTGGTATTGCTGTTCAGATTTAGACTCAAGTCACCATAACTAATTGTCCCAGGAATTTTTGGATTCATCAAACATTGTTGCAGTTGTCTCAGACAGGTAAGTGGCTTCACTGAGAAACACTGAAACAAATACAGCTATTTTGCCTTGTACTTTTCAATGAAATTATGCTCAAATGGAAAGTCTCAGTCATAAGGTAGATATTCTCTGAGGCAGCGCTTTATGCTTTCACCACATTTTTACAGCTAGCATGCCTGTGGCAAAGTATTATACTACATTATTCCACTACAAAATGTCTTAGGCCATTTTTAAAATTAACAATAACAAAGCTCTAATCTTAGAAGTATCACAGAATAAAAACATCTTGCTCATGTTTTTTAAGTTTTTATGTGTCTCCAATGTTGCCTGTGGCAAGCACATCTTCATAAGGTCACTTTTAAATTAGTTTCCTCCACCATGCAAATGGGCTGGAGTCACCTTTTAGTGTCACTCACTCTGATGCCTCCTCTGGTTAGTATAAGATAAGGTTTGCAAATGTGTTTTTAAAAGCATTCTTAATATTACAAAGGTATTACTTATATACTTGAACTTCTTTCAGGGCTTAGTGAGATACATGTGACAGAAGTATTCTTCATACCAAAAAAAAAAAAGAAAAAAAAAAAAAAAAAAAAGTAAAAATATTACCTGATACTTCCTCCTCAACAAACAGGATTTGGAAAAACAATGCATGAATCTTTACTGTTATATGCCAATGACCACATACCATACATACATGGTTCTTCTAGGAAGATGGAATGAGAATTTGCAGTATTTGGAAACTGCTAAACAAGTTCACAAAATTTCTGTGTCAGCATAATCATTTAGTTGTAATAAAGTTTTTATTTTCTCTCAAAAGAAAGCAAAGAAAATACATCAAAATTCTATGAAAGGATTGTACTTTTATTTCAGGGGTTATCACTAAACCAAATTTCCCTTATGAGATTTTTCCCTTCTGACAGACTTTGGGCTAATACAAAGACCTCTTGAAAGGATATACCTGGAGATCTGAAGCCCTTCTTTTTCAGTCCCTGTGGGATTTTTCTGCCTACACTTTGCTCTTGCAAGACAAAACTGTTCACTTAGATGTGTAACAATGACAGCCCCTAGTGGAGCTCACTTATGTCCACAGCAGCCTTTCACAAAACCTCTTCCACAACCTCTGCTGGATTTGCAATACATGGAGGTACGTTTTTTGACACAAAATATGGCAACCATTCTTCATTTTTCAAGCACTCTAGCCAGAAATTAGCTATGTGCCCTGTGTCATCAAGTTTTTATTTTTCTCTCATCACCATTTTCAGACTTACTAATTATATTTTCCAGTTACTTTTTTATCTGAAATGAAAGTCAGTATAAGGTTTTATTGCTTTTATCATTACCTTAATTCATAAGTTTTAAAAAAATCTACTTGTTCTTTGTTTTCACTTGAAGTTTATGTCATTACTTAGTGGCAGATGCTTACTCAGATGCTCTGAGATGGTTTCTAGATAACTGAAGGGGAATTAGAGCCTTAGACAGCAGGTGCAGCTCCTGCCTCATCTTGGAAGCATCCATTTCTCATCCAACTGAGTCTCCTTGCCCTGCTCCAGTGGTAGGACACACATTGTCCCTCAGACACTCATGGTCTCCTTGAGTCTGTCCCCCAAGAATAGAGATCAGCAAGTTTGTGTCTGCAGTAGGGGCTGCTCCTGAGGAAAAGAACCCAAGTCAGAGGTGGAGTTGGGCAGGTAGAGGAGGGGCTGTGGATGGATTGCTCACACAGGATGAGGAGGAGGTGGTCTCTCCAATGCCTCCCCTCCCTGAGAGCATCCCTGTGTCCCTACAGGCTGCCACAGGTAGAGCACATCCCCAGGCTGCATCAGCCTTTTGGGCAGGGCTGCTCCATATCCAAGTTCATGTAGCATGGCTGGAGGCCATGAGCATAGCTGGGGCTTCACACCCCTCCTGAAGTCATGAATACTAATCCTGACCCTGAAAGGAAATAAGGAGATGCACCAACATGCCCTGGCACAGGGCAGCAAGAGTCCCTGTCCACTGCCTCACCAGCCATCGTCTCGCAGTGCTTATCCCAGGAAGGGGAGTGTGCAGGGGGAAGCATGCAGGGTGGAGTGTGAGCACCAGGAAGGCTGCAGGCCATGCAGTGGCACTGTAGCAGCTGAGGCAGCACAAAGAGCTTCTGCACCAGGCAAACATCCCCTCACCTTTCCTCTTCAGCCTGGGGCCTCTCTGCCAGGGGCCGGAACATTTGCCAATAGCTTCTCTTTCTCCTGGGGATGGAGTGGGATTGTTTTAACATGAGTAAAACATGTATTCCTCTGTATCCCAGTTGGAGAGGATCACTTCTGAAGTATTTCAATTGGAAGTTAGTGCATTATGTATTGTGCCTACTTGGCCTAACAATTCATCCCCTAATTCTTATACAGCAAAATAAAAATGTATTATAAATATAAAAATACCAAGAAAACTATACATTACCAGCATTTGCATTTTTCATATGAACAGCTGTCTAGAAAACACTGGCAATGTGCCTGTGACTGAGCTAAACCCATCCTCAGAGTTAAAAAAAATACTTTAAAACCCTAATTACCCCCAACAGCACTAGAGAAAGCATCTGTCATATGTTTTTTATTTAACTTTTTCACTTACTGGAATCTACAAATACTGATGGAATTCCTGGAACCAGAATGAAAAGCATAAATTTTGTTTTCCACAGAGAAACCAACCCTCATCTGGAACAGAACCTGCAATGAGTTCTTGGAGGAGACAAGTATTTCCAGACTCCCCAAACTATTGTACCAACTGGCTGAAGGCACCTGCTGCAGCACTGCCAAGGGGTTTTGCACCTCAGATGTGTTCTCTGTGGGTATCCACATCCATGGTAAAAGGAGGAGAAGGCACAGACAGACAATAAAATGGCTTTGTGCCACCAGCAACAGTAAGGTGTCATTTCAGCAAGCAGAAGTGTCTGGCCTAGTTACGGGCCAGAATGCGTGTGAAGTCGGATGGTGTGAGGCAGGTGTGAGGAGGGGAGATGGGGCCTCTGCACAGCTACTCCTGAAATCCTTGTCATTCCAGGGACTGGTCAGAGTCTGGACAGTGCAGAAATCTGACATTAAACTGCCTTCTGAGAAACACAACTTGTTCAACAGGCAGCAGCCTGTGGTTTGTGAGAGCAATTTAAGCACCCATTAAAAGAAAAAAAAGGAAAGAAAAAAAAAAGCCTTTTTTTTTTTCCCCCTAAGCTGACTGTCACTGACGTTTCACAGGTTTTCAACATAGAAGAGTAAGTATTTCTGGGTATTAAGTCGTGGCCTCGTTCTATTTCTCTTCCCCAGGTAACAGGGAGCAGGTCAGCATTCAGATATGATCCCTTTAAAAACTAACCCGGTCCCGTCCTTTTAACTTCTTCTCCCATGCAAGCTGCTACGGGGAACAGAAGAAGTGACTTAATTGCTTTTACTTAAGCATTTCCTGGTTTAAAAATACTTTCAGCTTTGAAAATCTTATAAGCTTTCCTATCGGCTAACTCCTGAGAATTCCCCTTAGTTCATGCAGGGATTAGGTACGCTTCGCTCGTGAGGGAAGGGGGGGGAAGCGGGAGCAGCGGCAACCAGTCAGAGGGGACAAACTCAGCGAGATAGCCAATCAGAAGTGAACGCTAGGGGAGACAGCCAATCATAGGGCTGGATTCGACGTCCCGAGTGGGCGGGGCGAAGGTGTCGCGGCGCTGAGGGGAGGGCGGTCGTGGCGCCGTGAGGGGCTGAGGTGGGTGACCGTGGTTGGCCTCATGTCATGATACTTACTGGTACCCCCCTGTTCGTAGATTTAAAAATGTTTTATGCTGGCAGAAGTACCTCATATTTCGTTTGCCGAACGTGGTGTTCCCTCGAGTCCTTGGAGAATGAATCAGGGTTATACTTGTGTTCGTTTAAAAAGTTTGAAGACTTCCTTGTGGGCTCACAGACTGGTATTTCTACGTCCCACTTTTTCAGTTTTAAATTGGAAAGTTGGAACGTACCCGGATGCAGTGGGTTTTTTGCTTACTGATTGACACACCCTTAAGGAACTAGTGGTACCTGGAGTGACCACTGAGCAGTTCACTACTTCTAGGTGTATTAATTCAAATTTTGCCACTGGGAGTAGTACTTGCAATTCTATAGCTAATACTTGAATTATCGCATGGTTATATTGGTATAGGGAAGTTTTAGTCAGTGTTACACATCGGTAATGCTAAGGTAATGCTTCTGTCCGCTGCCCTCCAGCACTTAAGGTGTGGTGGATCCGTTCCTCCTTACAAACCTATCCCTGCTTGCTTTACACCAAATCTGTTGGATGTAGATCTGATGGAGGGTTCCGCAGGCTGTCCAAAGGGTTTTCTCTAGCATCTTGTGATTTTGACCCACTGCTTAAAACTATCTACACTCCTAACCTTAGAAGGTTCCCTTCTACTTCGTTCTCTATATGATTTTGTGTACCTTATGGCCTGTTTTGTTCCTTTGCCTGAACCTACCTTTTTACTTCTCCTCCACTACTGTTCTCTGCCCAGACTCCTTTCAAGTGACCAACTACCCCCTACTTACTTTTTCCTCCACCACAGAACTGGTTCAAATTCTATTACATCTATACCTGTAATTGGTATTTCCAAATTTGTTAGGTAGGCAGTTTTAGCCTCATGTCATGATACTTACTGGTACATACATGAAGATTGCTTTCTGTCACAAGTTTCCTTTATGGCCCTACAGTTCATTGTTATTGAAATTCAATTTCATCATACACTTTTTGATATAATTATCTGACTTTCTCTTTGAATCTTCTACCTATTTTCAGTTAAGAAAAAGTACTGTCTTACCTTGTGCAGATCCTAGCTACAATATGTCCTATTTTGCATTCACACTGTGTCTTTAGCTTTGTATAGTTTTTGCCTCTCTCCTGGTTCCCCTCAGAAGCATCAACTGGCTCAGAGACCTGGTGTCAGCTAGCCTATACAGTATCTCCTTTTTTCTTGTAAAACTGAAAACAGGAGGAAAGTCGTCTCACAAATACATGAGACAGTGAGGCGTTAGTAGTCTAGACAGTTGAATTAGTGCCTTTAAAAACTAATTTATAATCCATGAAAAAAGCACTGAATCAGTTAATTTAAGAGTTATTACTTAAGGGAGATAATTTGTATTGCCTGCGTTCACTTAATGGTTCTAGAGGTTTTCTGAGAATTAAACACCAAGAAGCATAGCTAAAAAGCAAAAAAAAAAAAAACAACAAAAAAACAAACCCAGTTCTTTCAGATAAAAATCAAATGTTTATGGTGTGTGGAAGAATACTGAATGCTTTGTATAGCCTTCTGCTACAGGAAATTCAGTCCATAGTGCATGTGCTAGAAATTATGAAGCTATTCATATTGAACCTGAAATTCAACCTCGTCTTTCAACATTTTGAGGTGATATAAAAAGGTTTTAACTGATCCATATTCTGTATGTCTTCCAGACAATTGAAGTGTTGAAAACATCACAAAACAAAATGTTTGCAGCTTTGAAGTATCACTCAACAGACTATTTATATGAGGTATGGTTTTATTGTTTCACTTAAAACTCTGAACTAAATATAGCAGATTTGGTGAAATTGAGAAAAGATGATGCTAAAAAACTGAGTGCACATTAAAAAAGATAAGAACTGCTTTTTTTAGAATTCTCTTTCAGAGAGGTTTTTGTGCTGCACTTTGTGAGATAACATAGCAAAGTGATTACAGGCTTTTTTAATAAAATAAATTTAGGTACAATTTTGCACAGACAGTAAAACATCAGTTATTTTTAGTGTCTGTTGCATTTACTACTATGATTTACTTACCATGCACATACAAGTTTCCTGCTTAGAGCTTTCTTTGGAAAATACTCTATGCCTTCTAATAAATTAAATTAATTACTTTCTGGAGAACTAATCCAGCTTTCTAGCTACTTTGTTGTGTATTAGAATAGTGGTTCACAGTACTGTATTCCTTAAGGATTGTAGGGAAGTTTTTGCAATGTCTTCGATTAAATTCATGGAAGGGAGATTTTTTTTTTTTTCTCCACACAATGACTGTTTTACAACCTCTTATCCCCAGAGTACCCTGTCATAACTGGTTTTTACTTATATTTTCAAAGAAAGGCCACAGACCAAATATAAGCGGAGCAGAGTGGTGCTTTGCCAGAAGAGGCACTTGTAGTGTGTGAGCAGAAGAATGTAGCAAGACATGACGCCGTCAGGAGCTCAGGGAGGGTAGAAGGACACACAGAAGCGCTCCTAGCATGTAGCTGGAGAATTGCAGCCTGGGAAGTGGTCCGGCTGTAGTACTTGAGTTGAACTGCGATCCGTGTAATGAAACATTGCCCACATCCCTTTCCTTAGAGTACAGCATCTGTTCTGTGTAGTTCCTGCTGTTTTCTTAGATTGTAGCAACCAGAACCTCTTTTTCTATTTTAATTCCGACAGTATGCAGTCTGTCGTGCAGTGTTTGTGTGGATATCTTCCCAATGTAGTTCCATTCAGCTTGATCACCAGTTATCTACGAATAAAAAATAGGTGTGTTAGCAAAGCATGTCATGGGCTATATGCAAAAGAGAATTACATGGCTTTTCTTGCCCGGGTTTTGAGGAGGATGGTGCTGACATCAGGACAACTGAGAACTTTTAGAAGGAAATGCTGAGTGACCTGCTGAATGGCTGCTCTGGAGCAGTGTAAATCTTGCTCTGTGGTGCTACCAGGAGGGGTCAATGGATGGGATCATACACTTAAAGGTATAGAGACCTGACTGTGCAAGGGAGATGCTGTGCTCAATCTGCAGCTTCTGGTTCCACTCTTGTGCCTAGCTGCTCCCCTCTAGAAAAAGTTGCGTTGATTTCTCCTCTGTCAATTGCGCTTGGCTAAAGCTTCCAGCTTTTAGGAAATGCTGGATTGCAATGACCTTATATCAAACCGATTCCTACATGTAGCTCACTCACCTGGATGCAGAATTCTGCTCCTAATATATTTGTTATGCACTTATATCAATTCCAGGTATAGTTTTTCCAGCTTCCCTTTATAAGTATCTTTGAAGAAAGGGTCTTTTCACTCACCCTAGACACAAGAGTTACATATTTCATGCTCCTGAGTGTTGTAGGTGTGATTGCAAAGTTATCTTGGTAGTGCAAGGTTTTCTAGTGTTATAAACTGACAGTACAGGCAAACTGAGTGGAACTGGGATAATATCTTTCAGAAGAAAAGTGTGCAGAGACCTTTATATTTTCTTGATAAACAGGGGTAAACGTGCACTGATTGAATGCTGTAGCTTTTAATAATGACGTTGAAAAACACTTTTATATATTTGAGAATGGCAAGAAAGGGTGTCTTTTTAAAGTGAACTAATTCAGCTTAAACTTTACACTTAGAACTGTTTCATTTAAAGTATTTTGTAAAATGCACAATTTTCTTGGTTTAAGGCTATTACCTGTGATGATAGGTCTAGGATGTATTTCTTCCACTTCACAAATATCAGTGACAGAAAACAATTTTAGCTATTAAGCTAAAATTAGCCTCCATGAAACTACATAGTGGTGTTTCAAATTTCTTACTGATCTCTGTTTTATTACTGGTTTTACTTATTTGTTCAGTAGCTTCTACTTCTACAGTAGCAGTAGCTACTTTAACCTATAAGTCCTTTGACAACTTTTATGTGCCAATTCTGACAGCTTCTTTTAATGAAGAGAAGGGTTATCCATAGCATTTCCTGTTATCTCTATTAGGAAATTGACTAGCTGCCCTTTATTTTATGATAAATGCAGTTTTTTCAGCAGTAAGTTCAATACAAATTACGTAGCGTATCGAAGACATAGGTCCAGCTGCCCATAGTTACCTGATTCTGTCTTCTTTATTCAGAATTTGTGAAAGAAATCAGTGAGGAAATGACAGGCTTTGACTGAGGCAAGAGGGACTCCATTGGATCAGATCTGTTTTTTCACAAGAACCTTTTAAGGAAAAGTTGCTACCATGGCAGGAGCTTTTGGGTTTTTTTAAATTAAAATTAACTAGCATTTACAGAATTGTAACTATCCCACAAAGGACTAAATGGAAATGGAAAAAGAATTTGTACTGATGAAGTGACAGTATTTATTTTCATTGCTTCCCATGTGTTTATTTGTTTGTTTGTCTGTGTTGTTTGTTGGTTTATTTTGGTTTGTGGTTTTGGGGTTTTTTTGCCCCTAAGTTTTCTCTTTTTTTACAGGAAGGTTTGAAAAGTACACCAATAGCATGGTTATTCTGGTTGCAGTCCAAGTCAGTGAAATATTTCAAATATTTCTAGTTTGTCACCTGAGTTTTCTAACAGTACAAGCTATATTTGACTTGACAGCATATGTTGGAATGGGTGGGCAGTTCTGGGAACTGAAGCAACACAGCTGAAGTGAAGCAATGGGTTTACAGCTAGAGAAAAGTTTCTGGTCTCATTCATTATGTTCTTCCACATGACTATAGCTAGTTCTCTTTTCCAATATGCCATTTACTCTACAGACTTTTAAAGAACAACAACTTTCTTCTTCTTTCTATAAACTTGTTAAACACAAATGTGTAAGTATAATTTTTCTTTGCTTCCTGAACTCACTGGTTATTCTTTGGTTCTGTGCTCCTTCGTGGGTTTCTGTGACAAAAGAACTGTAAGATAGTGTATTGAACTTGGTATTCAGTGAAAAGTTACTAAACTTGCCACATAGACCATTTCATTCCAGAATTCAACTGATTACTGTCCCTGGCTTTTGGGAAAATGAAAGACTTTAAAACGGCTTTCATTAGCTCATAATGACACATGAAAGAAAAGAGGCATTAGAATATTAAAAGCACTTGAAACAGCAGCAGTAGGAATGATACTAAATTGTTTCTGGTCGGCTTATCCATGTGTCCATTCAGGAGACCATTCCAAGTGTTAAGATAAGCACTTGTAATTAAAGTGTACCTAAGCATATGTTCAATTCCACGTACTCAGATATGTAGATTAAAAGTTAAATAGCAAATCAGGTAAATGTTAGTATCTTCTCTTAAGAAGAAGAAAACCCTTGAAAGCAGTGGGAATGTTTGAAAAGGCTGCACAAAAAGAATGGAACTGTCTCTCTCATGATTTTATCACATGCCTTTTTTTATTCAGAGCATGGCAAGGCAGAAGTTTTCCATCTGGAAATTATCACTTTGCTTTCCTCCCTGTTTACATCAAGATGAAAAGTATCATTTCAATGGACTCTTTGCTGATGATAAGTATAGGAAGCCATGGACTAGAAGTATGTAATCTTAAGTTTAGTTTACTGTAGATTAAAGGAAAAGCTTGTGTTTATCCATAGTATGATAAATATAGTAAAAAAATATTTCCAGGCATAGCATTATGTCCTTTCTTACAGCTTTTGAAGGTAGAACATCTTCATGGCCCAAATTAAAGCAAATGGGTAATGGATATTTATTTGAGTGGCACCATAAATGAGATGATATTTGATTAATTTGTAGAGATCTCTGGATAGATTTCTTTCCAGAGAAATGTTTATGGAAGAAAAGGAATGATCAGAGATAAGTAAAATACCAATTCTGATTAGTTGGGAGAGGTTTGGAAGATGATGCTGAGGTTATGAGCTGTGGCAAAAAATGAGGTCTTCAAATGACAATGATAAATATATGCATAAAAGTGTTTGCATCTTTCTTGTGCATTTGTATTGCCTTTGCTAATGGAAACGAAAGGTGTTGTTTCTTCTAAACTTTACATCATGTGTAAAGTCTAATTTACCTCTGCAATGATTTAATCAATATATAAAAATTAATTTTAGTACTTTCTGCATGACTTTTTTCTCTCCTTTTCATCTTAGTTGGTTCAACACAGAACATGATGGCTATTTCAGTATTGGATCAATGGAAGAAAAGTTCACCTGTGGAGGATTTCTTGGAAAAGTCAGTAACTTTAAGTTAAAAAGATCTGATTTCTTTGATATCACTCAGGTATTTTGCAAATTGTACCTTAATGATGAAAACAGAATATGAAGATGTTTCCTGACAGTAGCAAGTGTGCTGGAGCTGTATACTCTATCAGATAGCTTAGAGATGGGTTTTTTCACTAAAAGTTGTATTGTGTTTTTATGGAGTTCACTGGTCTTTATCTATTTTTTCAATGGTTGTGTAATCTATTTATGACATTGAATAAAGTCTCTGAAAACTGCATGAACATGAAAATAAGCTTCCCCTCTCCTCTCTAAGACAATTATTTTATGTAATATACAAGCATAGCTATGTGACTTGAAAATATTTTTCCATACTTAGAATAGTCTGCATTAAAATATTTGCCATCTTCTAGAAGACTCTTATTAGGACTTTAACGTTGGAAGAGGTGGTCTGTATAGTCTCAAGGGGCTCAGTTAGGGTTTGTTCTATCTATAAAACTGTAGTGAAACCCAGTGATTTCAGTGAAGTTCCAACATGGGCAGTGTTTTAAGGTTCATGGATTTGCAGAGGCTTCATGGATTTTCAGAGGCTTATGCCATGTGATACTTCGGATATTAGTTATTATCAGTACCACATGGTTATTCTTGTGAACTATACTTGTGAAATATACTTATAGCTTCAAAATTAATTTCTGAACTACAGTCAAAATGTTGTAAAATAGTTAATTTTTTTAAGATGGGTAGCAGAGATTCCCCTCTATTGCTGTTTACACATGGAGTTCTGTACTGAATTTCAGAGGTGTACTTATACACTGATTGCTTTTATGAGCCTTACCTTTAGATGACTAGCAAATATCAAGATGATGTAATGCTAAGTATTATTAAAAATATGAATTAATCAATAGGATGCAAAATTGAGAAGTCAGTTTTCTGAAATGAGAGTAGTAAGTACAATGACTGTTGATGAGCTGATTTGGGTGCTTCAGAAATGTCAGCACTCATCAGAGTTACTATATTGTTGCAGTCAATTTATGTGGGTAGCATAGCATTAACACATATTTTAATAAACTATTGTAACTGTTTTGTCCAGATACATGCTTAGCTTGGGAAAATCATGGGGGTTTTCTTCCTTTTGGTAGTCAAATGATTTTCCTACTTACTTGGCAATCAGTAGGGAAGTTTTCTTAATAAATAACAATAGTACTGAAGTTTGTATGAAAAGTTACAGGAAATAGAAGTAGTTTTGTTTCTTCACTTATCCTGTCTTTTTCCTATTGCTCTTACTTGCAATTTCTTCATGGTTTTTGAAACAGAAGTGTACATTTAGCCATAATTTTTGTCATGAACCTTATGACATCAATAGGTTTGATGCTTTTTTATTTTTGTGAAATTTTGTGCTGGGCGTGAACTTAAAGGACTTTTTTCTTGTGGAAAATTTGAACATGTAGTTTGACCATGGATCCAGTGAATAGAGAGAACTCTAATTTCTTCTGATCAACATATTCTTCTTCAGTGAATATGGTGATCATCAAAGCTCTTAGAGCATCTAAGTGCTGTTGATTCACTGTGGAGTCAGGGAAGTTGCAACATTGATTTTGGTACAGCTTAAGCATCAGGTATTTTTTTTCTGTTTTTTAGGAAACCTATCTCCTCTGTAGAGTTTCAGACTAGTAATGATTTAATAGAAGTTATTCCAAGTTCAAATCCTTGCTCTCAGATTGACACAGAAGAATCTTTTTTACTTATGAAGAATGGTTTTAAGGAAGACTCCACCCAAGACAAATATTTCAAGATTTACTATGCTGCTGAATTTAAAGAATCACAGCAAGGTAAAATGTTCAATTTGCTGTTTTCTAAGTTTTGGTTGAGTAATCTTGTTAACTTTTGTAATTTTTGCACATGTTCCAGAGACATCGATGAAATCATTTGGGTGATCAAAAACTTTGCATTTGCGTAAGGTATAACCACTGAAGACAGATTTATTCCCTGGAGAAGCAGGGCTTGTTTTAATAGCTAAAGAGAGATGCAAGCCAAAAGAAGTTTAAGATAGATTTCTTTATGGAGTTCTGTTTGAATTAGCATTATAAAATAGTTTCGTGGGAACATAATCAGTATCCATAATTTCCAGGCACTATGAGAGAACAGAGAGTTATTACAGACAGGGAATCATCCAAGAAGTGAAAGGGAGGTGTGGGAGTAAGGAGACTTCCATATTGGAAAAAAATAAGGAAGAAGAACAAAAAACTTCCTTTGCCCTTCTATATGTATTATATATGTGTAAAATGTCTGTGTAGATACATATGTATTTCATACCGCAAATGTAAGGGATTATGTCAAATTTGGTTATTGCACCACTTCTGTCTCAAGAGAGCAGTAGTTTAAACTCAAGAAATGTGATGGCTTGGGTTGGAAAGCACCTTTTACAGGAGTTCAGCTCCCCTGTAATCAGCTCAGGTTGGTCAGATTCTCCTCCAACCTCACTTTGAATGCCTCACCTCTGGGGAGGGAACTTCCTCACTTCTGGGGATGGGGCGTCAACCACCCAACTTGTTGTAAGAAACTGCTTCCTTATATCTAATTTAAATTATCCCTCTTTAAATTTAAAACTTAAGACCTAAAAGGTCTATCCCTATCTTTCTTATAAGCCTTCTTTAAGTACGGAGAAGCCACAGTAAGGTTTTCCTGGAGCCGTCTCCTCTGCAGGCTGAACATCTGTCAGTTGTCTCAGACTTTTCTCACAGGAGAGGTGTTCCTTTCCTCTGATTGCTTTTGTGATTCCTCCTCTGGACCTGCTCCAAGAGGTCCATGTTTCTTTTTCTACTGAGGACCCCAAAGCTGGATGCAGGGCTCCAGGTGGGCTCTCACCAGAGCAAAGCAGAGGGGCAGAATCCCCTCCCTCCCCTGCTGCCCACGCTGCTTTGGATGCAGTCCAGAACATGTTTGGGCTTCTGGGCTGTGAGTGCCCATGGCCACGTCATGTCCAGCCTCATCCACCAGCACCCCCAGTCCAGCTCACAGGGCTTCTCTTGATTTGTTCATTCCCCAGCCTGTGTTGATACAATGTCATCTTTCTTGAAATCACAGTAATTTGCAACCTTTTTTGTAATTTCTTTTTCTTCATCATTAGGGAATCTGCAATTAGGTTTAGACACGTATGGAAAAAGTCCATAATTCTACATTTAAAATTGCACTGAGCTAAGAACCTTTCTTGGCCAGAACCTCCTTCAGAAGTTCCTTTATCATACTTGAAAGTACAAACAAGGAAACAAAAGAGTACCTTTTGTTTTTAAGAGGAATTATGTAAGAAAAAAGAAAAAGCTAAAGAAAACTAGAGGTTATCATGTGAACCATAGAAGTCTAGACTTCGTTGCACTTTAAATGTTTTAGGATTTAAGTGTAAAGTAAAAGCAGTTATTGTTTTGCTGACATGTATAGTATTTCGACAGTTGCTCAACAATTCTCTTTATGCTGATAATTCCTAGAATTTTTGTCTTGTTTTATAATGTTTTTTCTTCTATTTTGTCAGATTTATGTTTGGAAGAGGAGTTTGTTTTTATTGATAATCTTGAACATTTTTGTAAAAAATTGCCAACTTTATCTGTACTTCAGAGCAGACTACAGTTTTTTTTAGTGAAAGATCCCCTTTTGGATTCTGAAGGACAGTTTTTAACAGCAGAGAATATTTTCAGGTACCTACAAATTTCTGTATAATATTAAACATAAGACCTAGTCTGTGTACAACTATTAACATTTTTACGTTTGTTGCATTTTACCTTTGTAACTAGTTTATGTTTGCAACAGGTAAAGACTTCAGCTTTTCATCTTAGGAAAAAATGAGGAGGATGAAATTTATATGCAATAAGAAAACTGGATTAATTAAATTGTCATTTTTACATTCTATAGGTGTGAAAAGCAATCAGGATATCAGTTTTGGAATACAGAAATAAATGTGCATCTTTAAAGGACTTAGTCCTTCCTCAAACCGACTGATTCCCTATCATGAAAGTATCACTAAATTTGATAGGGCTGGGATTTTGCATATCCTTCCATGTCCCTTTTTTCTCTCCTCTCAGATGTCCTGGCAGTAAATCCATGCACTTGCCCTGTTGAATTGTATTTCTTCAAGTCCAAAGATAAATTATTCTGATGGTTTTGCTCAGTTTTGTATTGCTAGGTTAATTGAATGATACCTATGTCATTATACCTGTGTCATGATATTGAACAAACATTTAAACAGGTATGTTGTATCAAAAATGGGATTAGTATTTTGTTAATGTACTGATTGTGTATATACATGCATAAAGTCTGGCTAAATCTTGTGCTGATTTATGTCATGTCTGGACTACTTGTATTGCTTCCTTTGCACTTGGAAGGGTTGCATGATTGTCAGGCAGGTAAAACAGATTTTAACTGAACCAACTATACCCTTATAGTAGATCAAGGAGGAATGGGGTTGTTTGCCTATTTTTTCAAAGATGAGCCCCAGTCTTGCAATGAATCTTGGATGTAAGACTGTGTGAATACTATAAATAACCAGTGAAGGGAACTTGATCCAAATTCTATAATGACTTTCAGAAATACCAGTAATGGGAGAAAAAAATGCTAGTGTGAAACTTTGCAGAAATAGCTCTGGCCTCCTGACCTGTGGTTGACTAGCAAAACCATGGACCTGTCCAAGGTGGGAGTCCAGATCTCCTGTGCAGCACACAGGAATTGCATTTAGAGAAAGGGATTCAATTAGACAGACTTCAACTTAAAAGTCATGAGCATCCCAAGGCTGGACACAGAACAGTTTGTACTCTGCAGTCTAAAATATTCCTCCAGAAAATAGGGGTGTCAGGGACTGATGAAAAAGTTACTCCCCTAAAAAGTTACGGCAGATTTAGTGCCTGTAACTGGCACAAACACCTGATGAAGCATTTACTTTCTACCTGACAAATCTTCATCCCTGTGCTGCATGTGTCTTTGCTTTACAATGCAAGTAGTAACTTCATTCCTGAGTTTTACTTCCAAGTGTTTTAAAGTCTTTCAGTTAAACCAGGAACATCCTTTTAGTTTTCACTTTAACGAGTAATAAGCACACTCTGCCTTCTTTCATGCTGAATCTTTCCTGAAAATAGGAACAAAAGGTGGCAAAAGAGAAATAAGGCAAATAGATTACAGAGATTTTCTGTCTAGTAAAAAAATTATACATTATTGGAAGAAATTAGATCCACAGCTTTTGCAGAAAGCACTTTTGCATGAGGGGACTTCTGTGCTGGGAGGCTGAAGAATTATAATATGAAGGGTTTATTCTGTAATTGGTTAAGGCAGGTCCCAGTATTAAGCATTTCTACTCTGCATATAATATATTATTTCTTGAAAATTTTTTTTGGTTGATTACGCAGATCAGTACAGCATCTCTTGGAATTGCCTTCTTAAAAAAGGCATGGATTTAGAAAATCTTTTGCCCTGTATATGGCTATGAAAACTACTGCCAAGAGTTTCAGTCTTGGACATTAGGTAATACAAAGAAGTCACTTACTTTCTTTTATGATCTTTTAAAGAGAATGTTTGACTTTCCAAAATGGAGTGAAGATGGAAGAGAGTCAAAATGAATTGCAGGGAATTGAAGAGAGTTTCTGTACTGTATCTCTGAAAGACGAAGAGGTATCATCCTGTTGTTTCATACTATATATTACATTAGTGGTTATTCTATGTTATGCATGTGTGTTTCTTCATCTGTAAGTCATGTTACTGAGTTCCTTTCATATTTGCCAAATATTTCGAGCTTTCATGTTTTCAAGATTAGAAAATACTGCTATTACTTGTGGTTTTTTAATTCTTGGATGCTGTTTTTAGGAGTCTCTGCTCTGACAAGCTGTTTGTCCTGGTACCCGATGTGTTTGCAATTTTATGTAGATACTTCTTACTCTAAGAATAAAAATTAATTGGAGCAGGAAGCCATGACACGAGCTTGGGAAACAAAAGTCTACAAGACATGTTCTGGGATTTGGTTTTTTTTTTTTAAACTTGTTTTTTTTAAGGAAGTCAAATCTACTTTTTCCTCCATTTTTCAAAATTCTAAAATACAAACTTCCATTAAAATAAATGTGGATTGTACTTGGTTGGGAACAGTAAGTTAAGACACACTTTTTCCACTCCACTGACTCCATCTGAAGTTGTGTAACATTGTATTTTGCCCTGTATTGAGCAAAGCTTCGTGTGTGCTGCGTAAATGTCAAATGATTTCTTTCCTAAGAGCTCTTAAATAAGTTCAGAATTAAGTTATTTGAAGATTTTAAGAAGCTTTGACTGTACAGTCATATAAAAGGAAATTTACTGGCCATTCTGTTGTGATTAATATTTTTTCAGTATTTCCTGTTGCCTGTTGATTTAGAATTCGGCAAACCTAACAATGGCAGATCTGATTGTGTTAAGATTCCATCATACTTGCAGCTAAAGGAGGTGTTAAATTTAGCTCCAGTCACTGTAGGTGATGAAGACCTTTGCAAACAAGTGATCGGAGAAGGTGAGGGTTGGTTTTCTTTAGTGCTTGACCTGATTTTCCTTTCATTTGAACATATTTAACACAATCAAGTTCTTTTATATTGAGTTCACTTAAAAATTGCTTCACAGTTTATCAAATGAGAATTTCTGTGGATGAGACAGGACCTGTGTTACACCCAAATTTCTGGTATTAGAAAGGTCCCCTTGAAGGGTAGTAAACGACTTGCCATTTGACTTAGTCCAGGGCTGTGTTGTAATCTTGAACACAAATGTAATATGAGCTGTGATTTGTGATATAAAATCAACATAGCTATAATAATTTGGTCTTGTGCTCTCTAATATATTTTTAAGTTTACTTTAAGAGACATCCCTAAGAGGATTATATGCAGAACAGTCATACCATAAAAAAAAATGGTTTTATTGCATTAATTTGCATTAATTGCAAACACAAGAGCAGATTTCGGGGGGGAGGGGGGGGATGGTTAAATATTTCCATGGATAACACCATTATTCTAAATGACAGTAAGAGTTTCTTTAAAGGAATTTTAGAAAAATTACTGAATGCTTTTAGACTACTGATAAATATAACTTTGATGACAGTTATTGGCTAATGGATTGATTTGTATGACAATATTTTGTTTAGTTAAAAGAAAAAGGCATTGCCTGAGGGTTGGTTTTTTGTTGGTTTTTTTTAAAGTCAAAATAAATGATTTTCCACTTTTTTGGTGGACAGGAAGCAGCTCAAAGAAGGAAGCGTAATGCTTCTGAAGATGGAGGATGTGTGCTGAATTCTGTGCCTCATAGGGCAGCAGTTTGAAGTAAACCAGTCTCTTACTGAAGACAGAAACAAAACTTTTAAAAGTGGATATTTGACTAAAACAGTTTCATGTGCATTCCTCTGATATATTTATTATGTGTCATGTTTCAAGCTGAGATTGCAGAGATTTGAGGATTCCTTATAAAATTCAACCTATTGTGGGTGGTTTTGTTTTAGTCCATTTTTGGTAGCAAAAGAATCTACATACACATACTCCTAGTAAACTGTATTTAGGCTACTTAGTTGTTCTGGAAATCATTCTAGTAATAAGATCTTGGGATAATTCAGATAGTAACCATACAATATTATAGGGGAATTTTTTGTCACTTAAGGGACAAAACTGAGCACTGATCTAATCAGCTAAAGCATCTGGGTTTACTAAGTGTGACTAATTTTTCATAACAATATATCATGGGGGTTCAATAAAAAGACTGAAAGGTCTGACATGAAAAATTAATAAATTGTTCATTTATGGCACCTTTTAAAATCTGTTTTCAGATCTCAAAGCAAAAATTACAAACAAAATAGAAATTTCCAAGTATTGTACCATTCCACAAGAGGTTTGCTCCAGTATTAGCACAAGTATGTTGGAATTCTGTGCATCAGGTAGGAAGATCTATATAAAACAAGGGGTGATATTTAAGATAAATTCTTCAAGTATTTTCTGTAATATTCTGTTTGTGGGAGAACATGTACCACATAGGTAAGATTCACTTTGTGTAACCTATTTTTTTTTTACCTGCACCATAAGGAGGTAGAAGTGCCATACTCCTTTCTAGACCTTTATAGTCTAAACGCAAGTAACTTTACAATTCCTTCATGTTGCTTTTGCCAGTAAGCAATGTCTATAACTTTTGCACTTTATTTGATTTTTAAATATTTTTAAGTCTAGCAACTCATCTAAGTTTGTTAAAGTCTGATATAAATGCTTTCAAAAGAGGGTGGTGGAGAACAATTCAGGTAGCAGCACTGTGTTTGTAATTTCTAGTGATTGAAAACTCCTGTGTAGACATCCTGTTTTGCAAATGGTTCAGTAATTACGTGTGATTGGGAAGTTAAGCCAGAGCTGTTTTCTACAGAAATGAACTCCAACTATTAAGTATTTGCTAATGTGCATTGCATCCTTTCTTCTCCTGCACTGGCATCAGGAAATACACCCTGTGTGTTCAACTTTATTAGGTTGAAAACCCAAGTCACCATCAACCAGTGCTGAGCAGCTTTGGTGTCTCACTGCTCAACCTAGTCGTCCAACCTTAGTAAACCTTTTTTCGAGTTCCAGGTGTAAATTTTCAAAATAATGTACAGTCTTTGCCAGCCCTACTATATTCACAGCTAAATTCTGGCTGACTAAGTGAGGCAGAAAAATGGCTGTGCTGATGACATTTTTCATCTTTCATTTAATGTAGAATGGCCTGCAGAAAGAGTAACATTTACCAATAAATGTAATCTGAGCAGAGTGTCAATACATGATGATATATATATGTCTCATCCTAATGTATATACTGTCTATGAAAAGATCTGTCCATTGTTGTATTGGACAGTAGCAATATTATCCATCAGTGCTTGTTCACTTGATAGTTTTCCATACAGAAGTTACTAAAATACTCAAGAAATGTTGAGCTTTCTCCAGACCAAGGCCTTTCTTATTGACTTAGTTTGAACAAGTTTTAAATTTAGCTGATAGTTGTCCCCTGCAGGCTAATAGTACTAATAGTACCATGCTTTAGATATTATATTTAGTGTGATTCTGTTTGGAACAATCATATAATTTCAAAGTGTCTGATATAAAAGCTCAATGCAAACACACCAAGTTCCACCAAGATAAAATTAAACTTATTTTACATCTGGAGATTATTGTCTAGCATGATAAACTGTAATCTGTGTCTAATCAGCGCTCTGACTGCTCTTTAGTTCTAAAGCTTAAAAGCAGGAGGAGCTTAAGTGCATTAGATCTGCACTCTTCCCCTGTATGTAGTACTAATAAATTGACTGTGATCTTCTCTAGGGTATTGTCCATTCTTCTGCAGTAGATAAGAAGTCAAGCCGTCTTGAATTGTCTTTTAAAGAAGGTGGCTGTGTTAATCTTTATTACCAATTGCTCTCTTAGCTCTGGTGTTGATTGGGCCACAATCAGTTTCCATCTTTTCTTTTCTTTTTTTTTTTTTTTCAGGATAGACTCAGGTCTGTAGGATAGAGACCTACAAACATGTGCAAGCACTGCCAGAACGCTGTTTGATGGCAGAAGTTTCTGTATTGGGTGTCAGGTTTCAGCTGAGATACCTGATAGTCTTCTCCTTCTAATTAATTTTGATCTTTATGAGTTACCAGAAGTGAAATATGTTTGCTTGAATTCAGTGAAGCAGTCTTTCTCTAGTCACTGAATTTGTTTAAAAAAGGCATTGAGAGACAAGATAGTTCTCTGAGGCAGCAATGTTCTGAGAAGGGGAACGTTACTCTGAGTGTAGGCAGAGTTTAACTAATGTAGCTGATAAAGCTTTCCAGTCTCAAAGGCATAAATAACTAGACAAGAACAAATATTAATAGTATTGCTCAAAGAGAAAGAATAGTTCTCTTTAAATACATCAGGTATTTTTGCTGTCCTGAGACCAGCTTCTGTCCTGTTCAAAGTAAAGTCCTAAAACTTTGCTTCTCACAAAAACTGAAGTTCACAGCATGAGTTCATGAAACTTTTTTGTTCTAAGTGGGAAAGAGGTTATACTGACTGGAAATATGTTGCTTTATTTTATACCCACTTCAATTTCTTACTTTTTTTTTCCTGTGTTTCTGATATGTTTGTGTCCTCTGGCTTTCTATCACTGTTCCTTACCCTTCCTGCTTAACAATCAGCTTGTTAGGTCCTTCAAGGAGAAGCTGTGAATAGCTGGACAGGTGACTGATTCAGAGGCTGCTTTGTGCCAATTGTCCAGGCAATGTGGATTTGATGATTGCTTCTACTTGCTGCCTGGTGGAATGAATAGGGAATTCATTATAAGTGTTTTTCCTTGTGGAGGCACTGATATATTCACAATTTTTTGCCTTAGTTTTCACAGAACATGGAAAAACTGTGGTTTTTGTGACTTCTACTTTTTGGTTAGTAGAATGCCAGAGAGATTAATACCAGGGCAATCATGTGAACCACCAAAATCAATGAAGTTGCAAATTTGTAATAAGACTTGAATAAAACCCAATAATCATTAATATGTCCACAATTAATATGAGTGGGAGGAAGAAAAAAAGAATGTTTAAAGTTATTCATAGAGGACTTTTAACATACCAGGTTTGTTTGCATACTACTTTAAAAAAAAAAAAACCAAACATGGTGTTGTAATTAATTTCAGTGAGCATCCCTAGAAATTTCAATGAGAACTAATTCTGCTTGAAAGAGTATTTTCTTTCATTAAAATCCTGACTGTTTTTTAAGTTCCTGAGGCTGTTCTTACAGCAACCACAATATTGCCTATAGTCTCTCTTCCAGTTAATTAACTTAATTTATGGAGGAATTATCTAAGAAGGGTGACAGGCATATATATCAAAATCTCAGCTGTGGTACTTGGTGATTTAATTATAAAAATAACCTTATCTATGAAGTGTATGTACCCAGAATGAACTACATCAAAGGAATGTGATCTACTATTGTTCTATTGTTTCCTCAAACTGTCTGGAAATTAGATGTGAAGTATTTGGGGCATATAGCTTATTGAACTGTCCCATGAAAATATTTTCTATTTTAGTCCAGGACTTCACTTATGTAAGATTCATAAGCATGTGTATTTCATTCACAAGTAGCTTTGTGATTTTGATTTTTATTTTTGTTTTGGCTGGGGCTTTATGCAATTTCCAGCTGAATATATTCCATATTTGAAAGATGAAATGGAAGTGCCTTTAACTCCTCCATGCAGACAGCAAAGATCATGGGTTAATTTTCTGTGCAGAGGACTTCAAGAAGAACCTATTTCACTCTCTGGTAACAGGTAATGAAACCTTGGTAGTGACCAATTCTGTCATAAATCCTCAAAATTAATGAAAAAAATAACTTCACTATATTTATGAATTGGTACTTACATTCTTTGAGCTGCATATATATTGTATTTTGTGTGAAAGAGTGATGGAATGCATAGTCCATATGTTTGGTTTTCTAGAAGAGCCTGAAAAAGGAAAGGAAGTTGCCTCTTTCTCTGTGGGGATTTTATAGCCTGAAAATCCAGTCTTGTTTTTGCAGTAGGCAACAGTAAATATTTAAAGTATTTAGCAAGTATGTGTATGGACATATGCTTGTATTTATACCTGTGGCAAGCACATATGTTGCACAAGGATCACCTGCAAAATGTCCAGAAGAAATATAGTAAGAAGATATTGTCTCTTTTGGGGATACCCTCCAACAATAGATTTCAGGCCTTTTCATGTGAATATAGGATTAGGACTGCTCCATCTTTTCCTTCTCATCTTATTTGAAACTAGCATTTCTTGCCTTGCCATCTTTCTAACATATGCAGGAAGAATTTCAATATCCCTTTGGGACGGGAGCCATGGTCTAGACAGAATTTTCATTCAGTGCTGCTTTACTTCATGACCCAGCCTTAATGGCTCCTCCTCTTACTCTTTCCTGTCTTTGTCATATGGATAGGAAAAAAAAATACATGAACGAGTGAAAGAATGAATGAACTTAAAATTTAAAGACAAAGTATATCTTTAAAAGATAGTTTTATATAAATCAAAATTCAACAGATAATGCTGCTAAACTTCATACCTGCGCATTTTTTTTATGTTCTTCATAGTATTTTGATTGCAGAGCCCTCTAGGGAATTCTTAGAATCTTTGATATGGCAATCAGAGAAGTATCGGGATAATATGAGCTCTCTTTTGCTTGTCGGTAAGGATTTCTAATTGATGATCAGTTTCTAACTGACGTTTACAAGTTCCATGTGCATGCAGAAATATAGCAGAAAAGATAATGTTATATTACAGAGCACATATTTCAGCCATTGAAGTTTATCCAGTTACTGTAACCCTGTGAAGTTTGTATTATGTGATTATTTTACTATATATAAGAAGTTAAAGTATAGGCAACACAGAAGTTGGTACGCCATGTATCCTTCTATGGAGGTAATTTGAATTAAGCAAGAGTTTTATTTTTTTTATGACAGTGCTCACTACTATTACGTAAAATAACTAATAGCTGAAATCTGGTAATCTGTTTAACTCATTCCTGTGTGCTATTTTCCTTTAAATAATGTTTCAAAATATGTAGCAATCAATATAATAGTACTGTTAATGGAAAATAATATTGTAACTTCCCAAGAGTAGAAGACAAGCAGAATACACAAAACCAAAACAGGCTGCTGGCTATTCATGAATGTGCCAGAACATATATTACTACTATTCTTTCATTTCACTTTATTTGCCTTCATTTTACAAGTCTCAGGATTAAGTTATGTATATTGACTTGTTTTGTTGTCCAGTTCATTTGTACATTGATTTATAGTTGAAAATAATGTATGGTATGCTCATTACTGTTTCAGTTAATTTTTTTTCAGGTGAGGATTATGGTAAGTCTTTGTAACCATGACAATAACCCACAGGTAATTAACAAGATAATTTGTAATTTTAGTAATGCAGCTACACATTATTAGATTTGGAAAAAATATTTAAACCCTCACCCCTCTTACTCACAGAACTCAGAAAAGCACACTTCCTCTGATAATGTTAACCGCTTTGCTCTTAAATCTCTTGATGATGGACACAGAGTTACAAATGGAAGTGTGACTAATAGATATGTGCAATAGGCCAGATGTACTTGGGAGCTTTCATTTCCAAAAGGACATTCTGTTTTCATCTTTCTAGATGATTGATATTATATGTTAATTTCTGGTTGTTTTGTAGAGCGTCCAGCTGTTAGCCTTGCACATCAGCATCATTCACTGAGAGAACTGCAGAAAATGATGCCACTTGAGGTTGAAGCACCAATGCTTGGCTCACTAGAGGAGGGCTGGTTGCTTCATAGGGGTTTACATCCAGCAGTTGTAGAAATTTTGGAACAATTCAATATGGATGGAAGTAATGCAAACAGTCTGCTTCCTACAGAAGTAGAAACATTCACACAATTTACATCATATCAATTAGAAAGTAAGTATCTTCTGTTTTTAAAAAAGTGATAAGAAGGGCAAAGATAGGTACTTAAACAGAGAATCACACAGGGAGTTACAGATCTCCAAGAACAAAGGAAATTATTTTTTTCTTAAGAACAAAATGTTTTACATTAAAATGAAGGAAGGGCACTACTGCAATTAAGGTGTACTTTCACTAACTTAGAAGAAATTGGAAGAAGAAAAGTGTTGAACTTTACAAAGTCTTTTTTTTCTATTACCGTACAGATGAAGAATAGCCTCCACCAGTCATTTTGTAATAAAATAGTTTCATACAGAAGAACTTCTTAAGTAGTAGTTTTGCTTTGGAATATTTTAATAAAGCAGATATTTACATAGCCCTACCTGCATAAGGTCAATGTGGAGGAGTATGTTACAGTGAAAATTCCTTATTTTGTGATGCTGTAATGGGGTTTTTATGCAGACTATTCCAAATTTGAACAGCTCATGACTTCAGAATTTCTCATGGACGTTTTTGCATACTTGTAATCAAACCTCAACAAAAAAAGCAAAAAGTTATTCAGATTCTATTGTGTAACTATGGCCAGACTGCAAGGCACCAGTTGTGGTTGTAGAACTCCAAGGATTGACAGTAACATGATATATTGTGAAACACATAGACGCTGCTCATGCAAGAACATTTCTAGTTAACTGCTTTTTACATTCTTTAATTGTTTAGCTACTGTGTTTCAGATGGATATGCAGCCACAATGCAAAAAAGTTGTAGTTCTAGTGAAGCGTATCTTCGGAGCAAACTGTTTGCATTCTTATGTTTTCCCTCTAGAAAACAAAAACTGTCAGTTTATCTTCCTAATGAAATGTATTGCATCTCACTTTCTAGAAATCTAACATCAGTAAATCCCATGTAGATGGTGAAAACTTCAAACAATACCATGGCCTTCTGTATCGTAATATTGTGCATTTTTACTTAGGACTAGTCAGTATAAGTTTTCTAAAAAGGGATCCTAGTGGTCTCAAAAGGTACAGAGAAGAAGTTTGTAAAAATGCCTTCTCTGTGAATCATCCACAGTCCTTAATTCCAATGAAGAGAAAGAAAAGAAAAAAAAATCTGTGTTGCAGCACATAAATTAAATTGTATTTTTTAGGATGGCTTGAGGAGAAGAATTCTGTGACAAACCAAGAGCTGCTTTCTGCTGGAAGACATCAGTCAGAGAAAGTAGTTAATCCTGACTTGTCACTGCAGATTCAAAGGCAGAACTTTGCCCTGAGTGGTCTGTCACCTGCCAAAATTCACAGTACAAGTACATCTGTGGCAGAGCTTACTGGAGGAAGCATAAGCAAGATTAAGACAGAAGAGGCAATTTTCTTCTTAAACCAAGAAAAGAAAACCCTCAAACCATCTGAATCAGACAGCTGTAAAGATGTGTCTTCTAAACTAGACAAATCATCCTGCAGTGGAAAGTCTGCATCACTTGCACTCGTTTCTAAATGGGCCAACGATGATTCTGATCTGAACAACTTTATTATGATGAGATCTAAATATACAGTCATCCAAAGAGAGGAAAAACATTATGTAGATAGACCTGAAAAAGGTATGAGAACCAGTTTATTCTGCCATTTTTTCCAGATTTAATTCTTCTCTATTTCACCAGTTACAGCAGATGCTAGTTCATCCTAATCAATTATTTGAAATTGGCAACTTTTTTATGGTCTTAAATGTAACTGAATTTTTTTGCTAAGTATCTTACCTTTTGTTGTTTTCCTTTAGATACATTAGAGGATTTTTGTTGGTTGGCTTACTTGGGATGAGCTGGAGCCGGGGTGGGGGGGAGGGGGTGCTTTTTTTTTTTTTTTTTTTTTTTTTTTTTTTTTTTTTTTTTTTTGAAACAGGATTTTTTTTGTTTTGGAAGTGATATTTCATAAAATAAATATCTGAGTTTATTCCTATTCTGACAAAGTAACTGTAAATGGTACTTCAGGAGATCTCTTCCATCCATATGTTCTAAATTGGATCTCCTGGCCACTTAGGAAAAGTAGTAATCCTCAAATGCATTGTAGTTATCAAAGGGCAAATATCAGTAATTACTTCTGTAGCCTAGGAAATGAACAGGAATTTTTCATTTGAGCCAGTAATGTTGGTGCAAAACCCATCAAATCACCAAACAATGCACCAGAACAGATAATAGGGAAAACAGAAAATTGTTGGTAGGCCTGTTCTTGTTGATGGCAGTACTTGGGAAAGAATATCAGGTTTTGTGTTCAGCATTGAAGGGGTGCAAAATAGCAGAGAGTTAAAAAAAAGTAGAACTTTCTTTCTTCTTTGTTTTGAAAAAGAAGTATCTGTGACGTAAAGTGGCATGTAACAGTGGCATAATTATATTCTGAAAAGTGAATTTGGAGGTATATGTAAAAAAATTTTTTTAGAAACTTTTTGGACTTGTATGGGAGAATTTTTACAATAGCTTTTATCTGTGTTTTGGTTAAATATCCAGGCATTAAAAAAAAAAAAAACCAAAATCAAACAGTTGTTACATAAAAGCCTCAGCAATAATTCCTGTAGAGTTGGAATGTTTGTTTAATTGCAAGCTTATGTAATCTTTTGGGAGTAATTTTTTTTTTTTTTTTTGTAAAATTTATGTGTTTCTGACACTGTCGGAGATGCATAAAACTTTTCATGGCGTCAGAAAGAAATAATCCAAATTTTGGAAGTAAGAGACCGAGGTACCTGAAGTTTTATGCTGGCATCTAGTGGACCCTGAGCGGAACTGCACATCCTAAGGAGGAATCCCAAGTGTGTTGAAAGACAAGCTGTCACACTCACGAGTAGGCTTGGGAGGGTTTGAGAAAATTCAGTGCAAATTGGGATAGGTGTCCCGGTAGACCACAGTGTTGCAGGTCAGTTACGCCTGACATATAGAGAATCCATTAAAATACAGGGGACTGTGATAAGCCACATCAAAGTAGAAATTATGTAAAACATTGCATCCTTTTGCAATAAAGAAAAATTTTTTATCAAGGGTTATTCTAACTCTAACTGAAAATTAGAAAGGCCAGCAGTGCTTGTAAGGCCTCTTCATTGTTTGACTTATTTTCTTAAAGATATCAAGGTCTGTAATGTTTAGAAAATACACAGGAGGGAAATAGTAGAAACAACTCAGTGATTCAGTTTTGAACCCAGATATGTTTTCAAAATAAGGCAAGTTATCTAAGTTAACTAGAATAAAAGTTCAGTTTTTCTTTGCCTTCTGTATCTCTATTATTAGTTTGTTTGCTGAGGAAAGTGGCCTTCTTAAGTAGAAAAATCAATAATATTTATAAGAATATTCTTATTCAGTAAGAACTCCTCTCACAGAAAAATAATCAGAAATAATTGTGGCCAGAAGTTGAAGCTCATGCATAGTATATATCAGGAAGAAGGGAAGGCTACTTAGAAATATTAACAAGTTGCAAAAGATAGCTAGATGACAGGAGAAAAATTATTTTCAATATGCAATCTTTTTTATCTTATTTGTTTTCCATTTGCAACTATCTGCATGGTTTAAACTATCTAAACTCATCACAAAATACATCACACTCACTATATTTTCCATAGCTTGAGCTCCTTATGGTCAGCAGCATCTTTTCTGTCATGCATGTTTTTTCTCCATATAAAGGCATAAGAGATTTCCTATGGAACTACATTATAGACCAATAGTACCAGCTCCTTAACTTTCCCAGCTCTGTATTTCTACCCTTAGGAAGAGCAATCTGATAATGCCTGACTTCTTGGGCTATGAAGGCTGACAGGCCCTAACCTATTTTTGGGTCTTGTGGATTTTTGTACTGTATAAGCCCAGGAAGACAACAAAGATTTCATTGAGAGAAAATGTATGTTTCACAGAAACAACTTCATTTGAAAGTATTTTTCCATGTAGAGTCATTTATAGAGCAGTTTTCTTATTCATTGAGCTGGTTTTGTGATATTAGCTAAATACTCACTTGTGATTTCATTATTTAGTGATACAGCCTGAAGAGCAGCATATGAGTGTTCTCAAAGAGGATGATTCTTTTTGTGAGACTCTAAAAACAGAGGAAAAAAACCAAGAGAATAAAGACAGTATCACTGTCAATATTCAACCATCAGGTATACTGTTTTTGGAACTACTTTACCTTCTCCCAGGTAAAATGACAGGACCAGAGGAAATGGCATCAAGCTGCACCAGATGAAGTTTAGATTGGATATTGGGAAAATATCCCAATATCCAGTCTAAACTTATTCATTGGAAAGGTGGTCAGGCATTGGAACTGGCTTTCCAAGGTAGTGGTGGACTCACCATCCCTGGCAGTGTTAAAAAAACCTGAGTATGTGGCACCTGAGGACATGGTGGTGCTGGGTTAGCAGTTAAGCTTAATGGTCTTACTTATTCTATGATTCTACATAGTTTTGCAATAGAATTTTATATAAAATAGTACAGCTCAAATAAATACAGAAATTATTAGACTTAGTCTCTTCTCTTTGTGGCTGAAAGTATTGCAAGTAGATGGATATTTATTTTGGCACAGAGTGAGAGCAGGCTGTGGAGCTCCATCTTAAGACTAAAGCCAATTGCATGCAAGGTAAGAAGAGTAACTTGGACTTAGAGTTATGTCTAGCTTTGAACTTAGAATTATGTCTGATCAAAATTAGCAGGCATGAAATCCCTTAATGCTGTTTAGTACTTTCCATTTATTACTTTGCACACTTTTGTTTAAGTAAATGAGAAATGGGGATGGAAGAGATCAGTAGTCATTTTGATAGGAAAGGTCTTTAACAGTAGGAATCAGCAATGGATGTATTTATCTCAGACATGACTGGGCCTTACCCCTTGAACTCTGGCTGTTGTATGAGGCATTGTATCAAAGAACATAACTGACAACATTTTTCTCATGCAGTAGAAATGATATAGGAAAACCTAGAAAATATTTATCCAAGCTTATATAGCCTCAAATTAAAAATACCCAGCCCTAGGAATCTGTAGGCCTAGCATAGATTAGTTTGGTATTCCTTGGAAATGCATTCATTTGAGCCGTGTGCTTAAGAGTATTTTCTTTCACAGAGCCAGTGAAAGAGTAATCTTTTTGCCTATTCAGGAGATGGGAATCATAGCTTTAGGCTTATTTTTAAATTATTTTTTCCTAATAAATTTTGAAGCAAAATTCCTTTATTGCAATGGGGGGAGAGAAATTAAAGCATTTCTGCAGTCAAAACAAAAATTATCATTTTGAAAACGACTATGATGTAGAAACAGGCTGCTGTAGAACAACTGAATAGTAGAACAATCTTAGTGTGTCACAGGAGTAGAAAATTCTAGCTTCTCCTCATGGAGTTTGATCATGTTATCAAATGGATGGAAGAATGTGGTTACCTGCTGTGAGGATCAGCTGATTGCTACCATTCAGGTGACTCTGTGGCAAGTTAACTTGTTTCCATTAATGTTGCAGCTTGCAGGAACAAGATAAAGTTAATATTTTGCTAGGTCTTTTGAATATTCATGTCCAGTAGTGGTATGTAAAACCAAACTTCATTATTATGTTTTGTTCATTGTGTTATCCAGAAAGCCAATGCCAGGCATACTGCCTCTTGGAAGAAGCAGCTATTCCTGTACTAAAAGATTTGACACACCTGGATATACTTGCTTCTGTTACTTGGAGCTTTGACAGTGTTAAATTTGATCACACAAGGTTTTTCTTAAAACAGCAAGAGAAAGTGATATGTGATAATTTTAAACAAGGTATGTCTGTAAAACATCTGTTCTTCTTTAAAACTAATACAGACTTAATTGGTGAGATAAGGTTCAAGATGTTTTATAAATTAATGGTAAATCTTTTTAACAGTTTATCTTACAGAGTTACAACAACCGATTTCCTCTTTTATTTGAAAAATGTCTTCTCTTTCAACATTACATTTATTAACCTCAATATTGCAATACAGAAGTATTCTAATTGGATTTCAGTTTAAAATATTTTACATATGCTTCAGAGGTGTTGTTTCTATAGCAAACAATGTTCATTTTTTTTGTTACACCTGTATCATCAAATACTATGCTCCTGTTAGAAATGAGGAGAAAAAAAAATCCATAATACTTTGGTTTCCTTCTGACTTCTTTTCTCTCCTATGTGGCATGTGAAAACCCTATAAAAACAGAAAAATTAGAAGGAAAGTCATCAAAATTAGTGACTCTTACAAAGGTTTTTGACTGTAAAGAGAGTCAGGAAAATTTCATAACAAAATAGAGACTGGTTTGAGGAACATTTAGGAAGTTACTTGGCATTTTTTGTTATTTTTTGAGTTGCTGTAGGCTGTCAACTACCTGCCAAGTTTCTATATTATGTCACAAATTATGCAATAAACTCTTGCTGTCTCAATTTCATTACTTTCTGTTTTGAATGTATTCTTTTCAAAGAAAACATTAACAACCATGAAACCGCAAATGAGGAGCCAAACAAAAAGAAAATTTAGTTGGCCGTACAGAATTGGCCAAATGGCTGATTTATAGAAGTACCATATTAAAATTATCAGCAGCAGTGTTCTCTTAGTGTGAAGGAGTTTACAAAAAAGCAAACACCATCTGCACAAACACAAGGGATAAACATGGTGTCTATATCTGTGTCAGTGAATCACAGAAAGGAAAACATTCATGAGAAAAGTGTACAGAGAATTACTACTGCTTCTCTGAATCAAGGAAAAAAATATGTAAGAGTCTGCATTTCAATTCAAGATTAATTTAAGGAAACTTACATCCTCTCAAATGCAGTTTACATGCTATAGAAATTGCATTTTCCCCAGCTAAATTAAGAACTTTCTTGCTGGAACATCCACAGAAACAAGAGAGAAAATATCCAATTCATTCCTAATGAATATTTCTCTGTCTCTGTACAAGATACAAAAATCTCCCTGGTAACATACTTCTTTTATTTCCTTCCTGGTTTTAAATAGTTTCACAATATCCAGTCTTATTCCACTTTCCTCCAGACTGTGCTGATGTATCTGCTCCTTAATCCCTGAGTGAACATAGAAAACAATCACTTACTGTGATGGTAGTGATCTATTAACAGATTACTATTCCCCTGCTGGTCTTTTATGCATCAAATATCACCAAGTGCTCCAGTGTTTCATCATAAAATGGTTTCTTACTGTGTTCCTTTGTTTCTGAATGACCTGTATTCCTCACTGAGTTTTTATGGTGATTGGTGTAAGGAGTTGGATATGGTCCTTCACTAACAGAGCTGGACATTAACTTTCTATCTTTTGATGCAAAATAGTTGCAAGATCTTTGCCTTTCATGCAGTTTCCAGCTATATCCTTCTATATGCTGTGTCCTTTTTTCTTTCCCAAGTGTGTTGCTTGTCTTTTTGAATTAAAAGTTATGTTAATCCCAGTACACAGAACTAGCTACATTTTTCTCCTAGAATGCACCTTCAGCTCTAGTAATTTATTCTTTAATTATCTTCCTCAGCCTTTTTAAGCATCTTGAAGTAAGTGTTACTTACTTACTTACTTACTTTGTATTGTTAAGTACTTACTCTGCAGTTGTGTTTTCAAAATTTTCTGGTTTATGATGATGAACTGCACCATTATCTGTGTACAGTTTTCAAAAATACCTTCTATCTTCAGACTAGAAATTCCTTCCTGTTCAATCAAGTCCTATAATATGGACTTGTCCAAAATTGACACAATGCAGAATAGGAAGCCCATAAATTTGTTTGATATGTGTGGGGTTAGGAAGCAAATATCATTCAAATTTACCTTCTTGAGGGTGAAGATTCTCATCATGAGATGTTAATTAGGTGCAGAGAATTGCCACACTAAAATCATTAAAGCAACGTGTTTTTAATGATAGGCCTAGGAGAGCTGTTACTTCCTCCTCCAGCAAACACCATCTATCTGTACGCACCTTTCAAAAACATTGGCCTGTGTGGCACTTGTCCTGGGTCAGATGACTTAGGAAATATTATACTGTACCATAACCTATTTGGCAAGACCACCAGATCTGAAGGTTAAACTTTGAAGCTTATTTATGTTCGAGTGTGTTTAATGAAAATGCTTACATACCCGGATCTTTTAAGCTGACTACATATATATATATATATATATATATTTATAAAATGTGAGTTGTGACATCTTATGTAGACCACACCTCTGTTTTCTATTTGTAAAGGTAAAATAGATGAGAAGGAGATCATGCTATTCAGACATGCTGCTCTGGTACACCTGCTGGTGACAGTTCGAGATCTGCTGCTAACATGTGGCTTGGATACAGCTCTAGGTTTGTTTTCAGTATTGAATAATGATACCCAGATACCCAAAACTTTTTGGTGTTCTGCAGACAATCCCTCATGTTTGTAGCTGTGACTGTTTGCCATCAGGGTATATATATGCTCAGTTCATGACTAATGGACTGCTGTTTGTTATTCCATTTGTTGAGAACTTTCACATATATAATATGTCTTGTGTCTCAGAATGACAAATTTTCATTGGAATCTCTATGTGGAAACTGAGGAACATGCAAAAGTCAAGTCCTTTTCTATTTACCATCTATCTTTTGTGAGTGTGGAACACTTTCCACATAAACATATTGTTAGGCTCCATGGAAGTGAGCTACTTAAATCTGAGAACATTTTAAGCAAAATCTTAGATATTACCCAATGCGTCATGAGGAAAGAGGTTTGAACTTGCAACACCGGACTTATGTAGAAGCTTTTTTTTTTTTTTTTTTGCACTTTTCTGGTCTTATTCAAATCTGGAATATGGCAAACCATTGTAACCCAGTTTAATGCCTGAAATTATAATGTTGCGCTTGTGAAATTCCTGTAGTTGTATGTTTGGAATTTTCAAATACCTCTATCAAGATAGTTCTACAAGACGTTGAAGTCAGTGTTTATGAGTACCCTAGGAAAGTCAGACTCCTTCTGTCTTTATAGGAGATAAAGTTGCTTCAGAGCATCTACCTTCAGTCTGAACTATCCCTTGATGGATGGTGTTTCCTTAAAATTGGTATAAAATGTAAAACATCTGCCATAAACTGAATTGTAGGGGAAAATACTTTGTATTTCCTTAAATATTTCCAGCAATAAAATAATATGGAGAAGAATACAGAATGAATATATAAGTAGAATCCTAAGTACAATTATTTTCTGTCTTCTATCTATAAACAATATAGAAGGATGGGATGGAGAAAAATGAGCAGTTCTTCCTCTACTCATTATTGGTATCAGAAGCACTCCTAGATGTAATTTTAGAATTACAAAAGCACCTGTGTTTCCAAACCTGAGCAACAGCTCACACAGGAAATTGTACAAGTAAAAAAGTTCTGAAAAAATTAGAAAATCGAGTGAGATACTAATTAGGCCTTGTAGTCTTCACTGTTGTGTTGTGCTGTGTGATTCATCATGTAGTTATATTGGATGTATTTTTTCTTTATGCATTTTCAGATAATCCCAGCATTGTTCACCATTTATACATAGAAGGCACCATTCAGAATTGAGAGTAGTTGTGATAATATGGAGAGTGGTAAACACACAGGACAAACAAGATTTAGAAAACAGTGATAGAAATACTGTTGTTACTTAGTATAAACAATACAGATTAATTAGGTATAAGAGTGTTGCTACTAGCATCTGCTACTAGCATATAATTCTGTCTGGAGTTCTATAGCAGATACTACATAAAGTACAGCAGTTTTATAAACACCATTTATGTACCTGATTAGTGGTAATATTTTCCTTCCATACTGGGGACACATTAACATTTCATCTGTTTTTGTGCTAGATACCTCGACATAGATTTTAAATTGATGTGCAGATTGAACACAATGCTTGACAATTATCTTTGGCACTTCATTTACTTCTTTTGTTGCTTTATTAACAGGTTATTTGTCCAAGGCAAAGGATTTCTATAAAAACATTTTAGAATCCTGTTTGAATAATATCTGGAGGCAGCTGAAGATTGTACAGTACAGCAGCCAGAAAAAGCATGAAACAAATCCCAAAGTAACATCACTTCAGTGTGAAATGTTAAATTGGATGAAAAGTTGTGGAGAGAAACACAGTGTTAAGGTTAAAAGAGTAACCAATTTCTTTTAACAAACAAAACTGTTTTAGATTACATGAGTAATTGCAAGACTGTGTTTGAACAAGGATTCATTTATGAAAAAAGTCTAATAATTACCTCATAGTATCTATTAAATTAGGCCAAATAAATTTTAAGAACTCTGTCACAGCAGTACAAGTTTTTGTTTCATCAAATCTCCCTTTTTTGCATGCATGAAATAGCATGCAAAGGAGTTTTAGCTTTGCCAGGGCTTTGTCTTGTTGCAGGTGGTTTTGTTTTCCTGATAAGTTTATTGTATCAGTTACATCAGTTACTAAAAATTATAATGTAGCCTTTTGTTTGAAAGCCTCAGTCATCTGGCACAGAGAGAATCACAGTGCAAGTCATGGTTGTGTGCTTATATGGCATGACTTGGAGCGCACAAACGCCAAGGAGCGTGTGGATGGTGTTATCCACAGATAACCTCTACTTAACCAGTATCTGGCCAACCTCCAGATACAAGAAGCAAGTATCTGTGAGTGATAGCTTTGGCATGGAAGAGAGAGTTTTGGAGAATATTCAAATTACCCAAAGATTCTCTTTTCTGGATGTGTGAATATTTTGGGTGATATGACAAAGTGCCAAACACCACCTTCCTTTGCAGAATATTTATTATTTCTTTACAGAAAACTGATCACATTAGGAAGCAGAATGAAATGCATAGTGTTTAAAGTGTTCCAGCTGTTTGGAATAGAATTTATGATCCTAAACACAGCCAAAAAAAGATCTTTAAGTTTATTTTACCTTATTTCCATACTTCACTTCCTGAGGATTTATTCTTCTTGTGTTTAAGAGTTGCACTGGGAACTGTGAATATCTTTTGATTAAATTTTGCTGAGAAGAAAAATATAACAACTTAGTATACACCCTTTTTGAATTTAAAATTAAAATGAAGCAACAAAAATAAAACAGTGCTGATTGTCTTGTTGTCTGTCCTTCAACAGACACACTAAAATGATTTTGCATCCTTTTTGTCTTCTTAAGAGCAGCACATTTTCCTTTGTGATGCTAGGATTATGTTGTAGTAGGAGGCGTATGAGAACTTGATGTCATTTTGATGTCAGCTCAGTGGCAATTTGACTTCTCTTCTGAATTCCATTAGCCATGGTTTTTAAAAATTTTTAGCTATAACTCCTGAGTTTCAACTTGTTTGCTTGACTTAGTCATGCAGAGATATGCATGCAGTATAATGCTATATATGATTTTATTCACAATTACTAATTGTTTCCTGTTTCCTAACATTCAGAGACAGCTTTTAATGAGCCAGACTAGGTAGGAGTATTCCAGTTTAATGAGAAGTAAAAATTGTATTCCATGAACTGTTTACTGTTCTGTCATATCACATCAATATCACTTAATATGATGTGAAATAGGATAGTTTCATTATCCTTTTATTAGCCAAAGTTGTTATTGGTGCAGGATTCTAATGGGACATTTCCTTTGTAAGGAAGAAGTTACTGCTTGTTTAGAAAAAAAAAAAAAATGCTATTTGTTCATTATCTTTTGTACTTATGATTAGATAGAAAATTACTAAAAATTTAATCTAGCTCACGTGAACATATAATAAGTCTGCTGTTGAATTGTGTGCAAAAAAGCAGGTCTACATTTTTAAATGCAGTTGTCCAAATCTGCTTATAAGTTGCCAGTGGATTGTTGAGTGGCTCTTCTGTGCACCTACTTAAGGAAATTGAAATCTGCCTCTCTCTATCTGACCAGAAGTTCTTTTCTGACAAGATCTAACATGCTTTTAATATTTACACCTATGATTATCTTATGTCTGTAAATCTTAAGAATCAGACAATGCTATGTGCCTTCTTTAAAATCTTAAATCTTGTGTACGACATGAAAAGTATCTGTACAATGGCATAAAAGTTCAGAGAGCATCCTGTCAGAAAGTATGGTGATGTATTTAGGTACATATTCTTCTTTATATACTTAGTGTAGCATGTGTTTAGTTTGTATCAGTTAAAATGATATACAAGGTGAACACCTTCTCTGATGGGAATTCTTTTTAAGACTGTGTCAATTTGGTAGATTCTAATTCTTTTCAACATTTTGTGTTAAGCAATATTCAATGAGTCTCAGATCTCTGACAGAACCAGTTTTATGACTCCGTCTACAGATTGGAAGATCTTTCTAAACAATTCAGCAGTATATCCAGTATCTACTTCTGTTACATAAGTACCTTGCAGGCTGAATTCTAGATATCTTCAGATTAAGTTGTGTTGCCATAAAGATAATTTTCCTAATGTGACAGATCTGTAGTAGAATAGTAATAATTTGATATAGTATCTTTAGATTACCCCATTATTACTAGTGTCTTTTACTAGCATTCTTTTTGAGTTCAGGAGCAAGTCAAGTCGAAAGCCAAGCAAGCAAGGCGGAAGCCTGGCCTGCCTGAGCAGGGATGTTTTAGAATTTAGATGGAAAAGGAATGTGTATGGACTTGGGACATCACTTATGAGCAGGTGATGTGAAGGGACTTTAAAGAGGCTGTCTACTCCTGTAGGGAGAAAATTTATGTGGCCAAAGCTCAATTGAAGTTCAAGCTGGCCAGCACTGTGAAGAATGACAAAAAGGGCTTTTAAAGTAAGTCAAGAGCAAAATAAGAACCAGAGACAACATCGGTCTGTTGTTCAACAAGGTTGGTCACCTCACAAATTGGGACATAGACAAAGCAGAGACATTTCAGTGCCTTCTTTTGCCTCTGTCTTCAATCCCCAGAGCCCAGTGTTAGAAGACTGTGACTGAGGATAATGTTGACCTCCTAGCCAATCCTGAACTTGTTTGAGACTTGCTGCACCATCTGGATGTGCACATATGTGTAGAGCCCAGTGAGGCTCATCCCAGGTTGCTGAAGGAGCTCAAAAGTGTCATTGTGGGAATTCTTTCCTTTATTTTTCAACTGTCTTGGGAGTCTGGAGAGATCCCAGCTGATTGGAAGATGTTAAATGTTGTTTCAATTTTCAAGAAGGGAAAGAAGGAAGCCTCTGGTAATTACAGACGTGTCTGTCTCATTTCAGTACCTGTTAAAATTATAGAAAAGTTTATTCTGGGAGTTACTGAAAAATACTTGAGAAATAATGCAGTCATTCGCCACGGCCAGCACAGGTTCACAAGAGAAAAGTGCTACTTAACCAACTTCATTTCCTTTCTTTTCCCACTTAGGAAAAGATGACCCGTCTAGTTGACCAAGGGAAGCCAATGAGTGTAGTTTTTAACTTCAGCGAATGCCTCTCACAGTACCCTAGATGAACTGTTCATCACAGAGCTAGACAAGCCCACAATACTGGGTTGAGTGAGCAGTTGGCAGATTGGGTTGAGCTCAGGGTTGAGCTCAAATAATTACAGTGAATGGAATTACATCAGGCTGGTGGCCAATGACATTCCCCAGGACTCAGTTTTAGAGACAGTGTTCTTAAATGTTTTTATAAGTTGTCTGGGCACAGGAATTGAAAGTACATTAAGTGATTTTACTGATGATAAAAAATTAGCAGGAGATGTACTAAATGGACTATCATGAGGGTAGAAAGGCCTTACAGAAAAGTTGAACTAGAAAGCTAAGTACTCACCAGCTATGAAATATATGGAGACTAAGTGCCAAATTGTCCAGCTGGGATGGGGCAATCATGGTTATACATACAAATTGGGAGAGAGACTGGAGCCCAGTGGGAAGAGACTAGGAGTCTGGGTCAATGGCACGTGGAGTCAGCAGTGCCCTGGCAGCTAGGAGGGCCAAACATGTTCTGGGGTGCATCAGGCACAGCATCGCTAGCCCAGAAATGGAGGGGATTGTCCTGCTCTGCTCTGCTCTGCACTGTGGCAGCCTCACCTCGAGTGCTGGGGGCAGTTCTGGATACCACTATATAAGGAGGATATCAAACTTCTCTGTTTTGTCTGTCCAGAGGAAAGGGACCAAGATGGTAGAAGACCCCAAGGGCAAGAGAAGGGGCAGCTGAGGTGACTTTTGTTGTTCCTTGTGGGGAAGGTGCATATCCTGAGGTGGCTGAGGGGTGACCCCATCACAGCCTACACCTTCCTCAGGCAAAACAGCAGGGAGGAAGGTGCATATCTCCTCTCTCTGGTGACAGTAATAGGACACAAGCAACTGGAATGAAGTGGAATGAAGCAGAGGGAGTTCGGGCACATTAGGCAGAAGATTCCTCACTTGGAGTGTGGTCTTCCCTGGAACAGACTTCTGCATAAATGGTTAAAGCACTAAGCCTATCTAAGTTCAAGAATCTCTTGGATATAGTCATATGGTTTAGTTTTCGGCAGTCCTGTGAGAAGTAGGGAGTTGGACTCTATCCTTATGGGTCCCTTCCAACTTGAAATATTCTTTGACTGTCATTGTGGAAAACTCCAGTGTTTCTGGTTTTGCCATCTGTTTATTCAATCTTGTGTTTTCTATGCAGAGGAAAATGAAAGAACTATGCAGGCTGAAAGAAAAAAAAAATTAACATTACTTGAGTTTCTTTTATTTGACTTCATACAGATACTAATCATTACAAGGATGGACTCTGAAAGAGAAAAAGCTGCCTTCATTCACCCATTGTCTAGGATAGAAGGTAAATTACTCTTTTGTGTGTATTTTTGAAATAAAAAGTGGCTGTTATTCTGTAGATTGCTGCATTCCTGTGTAAATGCTTGGTGCAGGTGTTTCTCCCTTCTCATCAGGACCCTACATATTTTTTTCAATGTTTAATATTTGATAACTCTTCCATCAGCTTTTTGTCTTTTAATTTTGTTTTCTCCTATTTAAGAGTCCTGGTCTAATGTTTTCTATTTCAAGAGAGTGATAATTTATCTGCTGAGTCAAAGATTTTTTTTAACAGAGCATGAAGGAGCTGTGGACAGCCCATTGCCTAATTGTATTTGTATCTGTTATCTTGATCAGATTGTCTCATTGGTTTTAGCTGATAATTAGTCACAAGCTTTCTTCCTTGCAAGCCTATTCAGAGCATTTAGATTTTAAAAGTCTTAACTAAACTCCTCAGCATAAAGCCTTGAATGAGTATTCAGGTACAGATCAAATTTTCATTTAGCTATATGTTGCTGATCTTGTTTGCTAATCTGTTAAATATGTCAGCATAAGCTGTATCAATCTATAAAGCTCAGGGCAGGGATATACTGTTTCCAATATCCCACCTCCCCACTGATACAAGCAGTATTTTCATCACTTCAACATTTTACCTGTGAGTGATTTCAAAAGTACAAGATTGTTCAACGCTGCAAATTCAACTGGTAAAGCAAACATGTTTCAAGAACCTGTAAATTATAGGCTCAAATTATAATTTGAGCATGTAAATTAAAACTTGAATATGTAAATTATGGGCTCAAGTTATAATTTGAGCCTATAGTTATGTTTATAACAAGTCACTGACTCCTTTTATATTGCTTTTTTAAAACCCATTTTCATAAATCCTATTTGCTTGAACTTTATCAAGTGTTGTGTCTTGTCGTGTTCTTTTGCCTTTAAAAATAAAGTTCGATTTCCTGTGCTCTTAAAAGAAGAAAGCCTGTCTTTCAGAATGTTTTGAAAGGGAGGAGGCATGTTCACAGTGCTTTTACTAATAATAATATTTAATGAAAAGAGCTTTATTTGTTTTAAGATCTTAAGACTTGTTTGCAAACACAGGTCAATCTAACTATGCTTTTGAAAAGAGGCACTTGTGTAGAACCAACATTCCTTCATAGATACATCTTCCAGTTAAAATTTCAAATGTATAAAAAGTGTAAAGAAATTTAACTTATAAAGGGGCAAATGTGCTTCCTCTTGTATTACGAAACAGTATTACCCTTTAATTTTTCATTTTAAGGTAATAGGGTTGTGAGTTTGTGAGACATTAAACTTGTTTGCACTACTTTTTCCTTGGGTTCTGAGAAGGAAGTTTCTAAATAATTACATCCAACAGTATAATACAGAAATTGTATGGGACTTCAGCAAGATAAAATATGTAATACTTAAAATGTTAATAACCTGTGTTGTTCCACATTTGCTACTTACTGTTGTAGCAAATGTGTAGATTCATAGTCATAGAGGCTTATTTATTTCATCAACTGTTTAATTTTTTTAAGCAGGTTTGAAAACTGTGGATTTGAATTCTGAGAAAAAAGGAAGCCCTTTAAGTTGTAAAGAGATCATAAGCAAGTAAGTTAAATTCTTGATTTATGAGAACAAATTCTTTAGTTGAGACTAAGCTCAGTGAAACTTCAGTTACTTTACTTCCTTTCCATGGGTCTTTCCAGTCTGGAGTAAAGTTTTCATTATAACATTGGTTTGATAGCTGTAGTTTTCACCTACAGCTTCATTTTTAGAGTTGAGAATTTTGTCCACCCTAGAAAAATGCTTACTGAGGACTAGAGGAACTTTAGGGAACAAACAATTGCATATTCTTTATATGTTGTTTCACCTGTTTAGAAAACGAGAAATATGTAGAGAAACATGATTTTTGCTTGTTATAGAAAAAAATGGTGAAAGGGCATAACAGAAGAAATGACAAATTATGACATTTCTGAAATATATTATATTTTAGGCAGATAATTGTAGGAAGAAGAGTACAGCTTTTTATTTTTAAATTAACTTTTAAAGGAGTTGGAACCTTAGCCAGGAAGGGTAAATAGACTTTAAGCAGTTAGAATTTGCCAAAGTAAAAGTGAGTTTATTTTGTTCTGAGGGTATTTCTACCTGCACTTATTTTTATTCATACTTTGTTGGGGTTTTTTAAGTCTTAGTAGGTATTCCTGCATTATTGTACATAACCAGCAAATTGGAGCTGACTTCCCTTGGACGCACTTCTCACTAGTAATGGAATACGATTATTCTGAAAATTCTGGCTGGAAAAATCTGTGCAAAAATCTGAATGTTACTTACATGACTTTTAAAACCACCCTCCCTGAAATAATACAAATGGGTAAGTGTTCTCCAGAATTGTAATAAACATTTAGACTAACATATGAAAAGAAAACATTTTCTGTTCCATAAAATGCTACATTCATATGCCTGTGGAAGAGAATGAGTAAAACATTATGAGGGCTAAAGCTCAACAAACAGGGCTGGGTTATCTATGCAGCAAAAAGGTGTTTTTATTTGAGTGTAAACCTAGTTTTGGCCAGAATGTAGGAGTACATGTGGGTTTGTGGAGACTTTCTGCCAAGTTTATAAGTTGTTTACAACTTCTGCAAGCTGTATCCACTCTTCCTCATTCTAAGGGAATGCTGCAGATCTAAAAAAATCTGAATTTAAGCATAATTTCAAAAATATTTAAGGGAGTTTCATTTTGGGGGAAAAAAAGTATGGAGTGGAAGCATTTTATTGGAGATTAATAAAAGATACATTTTTGAATGCCCACTTTATATATCTATAGTTTTTTGCTTATTAAACTATTATCTTACATATATAAAATGTTTCAGGGAATCATGGTGGTTCCTTTCTTCTGGAAGTACAGATTCCATATGTATTCCTGACAACTGAAGGTCTTATTAATATGCCAGATATTCTTCAGCTTTTTGAATCCAAGTGAGTGAAAATAAGGACTTCTGTGGGCTATTTATTTTCAGATTTTCAGGACATGTGTGTTATTCCACTCTATCATGTGTTAGTCATCTATTGGCTATGACATACATTTCTGCAATTACACTATTAGGTCTTTAAGAGACAAGAATATAGTTTTTTCTGTTGAAGTTGATAACTTAGTACTAGAGATTCAGACACATGCCAACCAGAATTGAATTGACCAATTTTTTAAAATTGTAGCTGGTATTTTTAAATCAGAGCACCTTTTTCAATTGTCTGCTTTTCTCTGAAAAGCATGATGTTCAGAAACTTTTCTTTTCTACAGTGCTTCTTGGTCCTTGGAAGACTTTGTATTTAATTCTTCGTAAAAATTGCTTCAGGATTTTTTTTGTTGTTGTTGTTTTTATCCACTGAAGCTATGCTAAATACTCAAACTGAACAATAGTAATAACATCTTATTTTCTGGTGCATCACAGTGTTTAGGGGAGACTAAGTTTAAAACAAAAGCTAATTTATTAATAAAATTCAGATCCACTATTCACTTAATTTTTAATACTCTATAACTTGTATGAATACTGCTAGGGGTTGTAAATCGTTGTCCTTCTTTATTATTTCTTTGACATAATTGTCTTGAATTTTGCTTTCACAGTAATAAATACTTGGTAAAGCTACTTTATATCTCATGAGGGGAAAGTAAAAAAAAATAAAAGAAAGAATGAAAGAAACAAAGAAACAATGAAACTAAGAAATAGGGACCAGAGCAGCAATATCTCTCAAACAGAGTGGCAGAGATACAGAGAGACATGATTTCACCATGTTGCGGGACAGACATGCCAGTTTTAATCCTGGCTATATCCTTGAGTCAGCTGTGGAGCCATTTTTGGTCTGTGTCTAATTACAGTTCTGTAGGAGAAAAAAATATGTGTCTTTTACATTTAAAATTTGAACACATAATCTGATATGCTTTTAAACTCTGACTTGTTCAAGTTCTCTGTTCAGCCTGGCCATAGAGAGCAATGTTTTGTTACTTTTCCACTAGCTCCTTTTAGCACTGATGAGGGAGTTAAATAGGTGAGCAAAGATCTGTACAATTTCAGAAAAGGTAAGAGTTTACTTTTTTTTAAATGTCTGAATACACTGTCCATACAAGTTTCTAGAGGGCATACTGACAAATTGAGGTTTAGGTCTCTTGTGTTTCCTAGTAAAACAAAACCTTTGCTGCTGGCAGTTTTAAGTCACTCAGAAATTTTAGGATCATACCAAGGCAATTAGGCAGTTTGCTTTGTTTTGTGCTGCACAATCATGAAAGGAGGAAAAGAATTGCAGTATGTAAAGTTAGAAAAAGTTTCTAAGTATCTATCTTCATTTCTATATTACCTCTATTTTTTTGTAAACTCAAAGCCTGGATGTCAAGGTCATACTCAATGCAGTTAGCAATATAATTTAATTACTGCTACATTGATACGTATTTTTCAAGTGTGTCTTAAAGTGAACTGAGAAAGATTTGAGAAAGATCAAGACTATATAAGTTTAAAAACTGTATTAAGAGGTCTGCTATCCATTTTCTGTAAGAAAATAGTATTATTTTACTTGTCTGAGTTTTAATGAAATAATTTTACTTTTTCAGGTACAGCATTACCTTTGTTGAAAGAAGCAGCAGTTGCTCCTTAAGGCTCTTTGGAAGTACAGATCGATGTGTTGTGCTGACAATAGATGAGTGCACTGCTATCTTTCTGCAGGTACAAAATGAAGCTACTGTGTTCAAGTTCTGTTATGTGTTCAGTCACTTCTAGGCCATATCTTCAGACTTCTGACATGTCTTTTCTTCCCCATAATCATATTTAATTCATGCATTGTTTCACATCACAAATCATTAACCCTAAAACCTGTGCCATTTTGACTAGTTTAAAATGTACTCAGTTTCTTCACTGAAGTCATATTTGACCTGTGATTTGATTATATGAAATGTAGTTAAAAGATGCATACTTCAAAAGAGGGCTGTATGAAGAAATTTTGTAGCAACCAATTAAACGTATTTGTTGCTCTATTCTCTTACTAGTGTGCATATTAATTCCTTCCATTTCAAATGGTTATCTGAATTAATCTATAAAATAGTTTGTTCTACTTTTAATAAAAAAATAATAGTTTAAGCAATAGCATACTACTTATATTCTGGTATGCAACAAGGCAGATTACAGGTAGAAGAACTGCTTCGAAAAGATAGGTACATAATAAAATAATCAATTAGTGTTACAAGTACAGCATAGACATTCTTACAAGCTCTGCAATTAGTGATATTGTACTTTATATAGTTAGTGTAGGTATGCGATTTGTATAGGCCAAGTACGTACTTCAGAAGTTTATAACAATATTTTGCATTATTAAAGTTCACAAAAAATCTTGAGAACAGCCTAAAAAGGTATTGACACTGTTTCTTTTTAGAGGAAGGAAGAAGAGGCATAAAGCTTTGAATCAGTCTTTTGAAGGTCAAAGAAAATAAAAGTTGGGATTACAAAGTAGTTTTCCCAACTCACACATGTGTCCTTCATGCTTACATTATTTGGCTGTATTGATGTTTGAGCCAGTTTCTGCATATTGTATTGATACTCATTAAAAGCTTGGGGCAGCCATGGTAATGTATTTATTTAGTTTTTACTCTTTATTTAAATTCCATGGCAGAGTGTCGAAGAACTAAATTATGAGGACTCCTGTGACACTGTAATATCAAGGCTGGTGGCATTATCACTCCAATATATGTGCTGTTGGATTATTTTCTATTCCAGAGAAAGACTGAGTTTAGAGTAAGTTACTAAATTCTTTTGCTATCCTGGTATTTTTAAAATGAACTTGTCACTAAAGAAAGACACTTATTAAAACAAGTTGACACTCATTTATCTTTGAACTTCTCTGTAAGAATACATTTCTCTTAGAACAATACAAATATTGTAAGCTCATATTTCTAGTGTGCTTTGGGTTTTTCAGTTAGTTACAATGTTGTCAGGCTCCTACTGAAAAACTCAGTGAAATTGTAACAGTGATCACTGGAGACCAGCAAAAGCTTTGAAAAGTTGGTTTTTATTTGTAAGGCTATTTTCAGTCTTACACAAATGATAAATAAATGGTTGTTATAAAATAACAGAGTTTGAGGCAGCCAATATGAACATGAGCTATATTTCAAATCAACAGGTCCAGAAATTTCACAACTCCAAAGATAGGAAATACTGGAATTATTCTTAAATCTGTTTCAAGTAAATTAACCCCTACAAATGCATGGTTATGAATTACTGTGTTAATACCATTGTATATTATTTGCAACAGGGAAACATTCTTAATTGTTCTTCCAGTGCATCAGTGGTTCTCCTTTTGCTATGGAAAAACACCTTCTGTTGACATAGTTCATAAACATTAATTTATTACATCTTTTGAGATTTTTTTTATAAGCAAGTGGTAATTTCCTCTCTGTTTTTCCTCCAGTGTCTCCAGTGATCCAGACCTTTTGCTTCAGATCAGACTTGCTTTTTCTGTAGAGTGACTCTGTTTTCTTTCCTTACAGTTGATCCTTTAGCAGTCAGTCCCTTAATGTATTCTAGTTTTTTTTTCCACAGATATTAATGTTCAAACTGTACCAGTATTCTGAATTCAAGGAAATGAAACAGATATTTATGAAGATATGGAACAAATGGTTTGAGATTATTACATGTGTATATTAAATATTAATGATCCAATGAAACTGTTTTACAGGTACAGTCTCAAGGGTAATACTCTGCTTAACCTTGTCTTAATTTATGCCACTCTAATTGAACTTACACAGAAGTCAGAAGACTTTGAAGTAAAGGTAACTTTTTTCTGCATTAATCTTCATTATATGATATTTCTAAAAAGCTCAATCAAGTGTGCCTTCTACATCAAAAACATAAAATAGGTCAAAATTACTAAAATAGGAGAAGATCTTAATTCAGTGCTGCAAAAGTCAGTGAAAAGACTATGTTGACTGCAATACAAGTTGAATCAGAATAAAATAGCAGTTAAAGTCTTTTCATAACTAGGAGTCAAAAAATGGGATTGTACCTTAAATAAATTATTAGAATATATATTACTCTTGCTCATGTCTTAATTTGAAGTTTCAGATCAATATTTAGTTGCTGATATGACAGAAAAAAAAAATAGTGTGCCTTTTTAATATGACAGGATAAGTTAACCTCTTTCTTTAAAAATCAGGAAATCTATAATCTAGAAAATCTGTTTTAGTGTCCAGAATAACCAGCATTAAAAAATGGGGCAGAGGTTTCATTCAGCTTACCAAATTGTTGGTAACTTGTATTTTTGAACAAAGTGGTATCTTTTTTAGGCTCTTTTTCTCACTTATTTGCAGCCAATGTTTAGTGCAGATCTTTATTAAGTCATTATTATTTGCATATTAAAATTTGTATAAAATTTACCTGATTAAATGAAAGTTAAAAGAGGATGAAGAGAGGACAAGGCCTTTTTCATTTCATGTACTTACCAGTGTAGCTTGTATGGAAATTATAGCTTCAAAGTGTTACACATGTTCTTAAACTGTAGTAGGCATCTCACGCTTGCCTGTTTTATTAGGAACTCATGTTATGCCCAGAAACTTGATCACATATAAAAGACCTATAGATAAATCAATTAATTTCAGCTACATAGTATCTGCATAAATAAGGAGTGTGATTTGCAGCCCGGTCAAAGGTTGGAGTTTTTCTGCATGAAAAGCAGATGGATCAGGTTTAATTACTCAGCAGTACTGACTCTTGTGTTCAGGGTGACCTTTAGTTTACATGTCAGTGTTTGGAGCAAATTAAGACATTCATTAGAGTAAGTTTTAACCAAGAATATTATGTATCACTTTTAGGTAGTTCTTACGCCAGGGATTGAAGAGGCAGCGCTGGTAATCCGTCAGATTGCTGATAACGGCTTGATAGCATCTAATGTCAGTCCTCATGAGTGGCTGGACAAATCCTGGCTTTCTGTCTTGCCATCTGAGGTTTGCTTCTATTCCCATAAATTGAAAGTTTCTTCCTCTTTCTAAGATTCATAAAGATGTAGGCTTTTTTGTTGTAGTTCTCTTAAAATATATTACTAAAATAAGCATTATTATATATCTGTATGTATATATATATATATGCAGATATATATACAAGCATATTTCTAGTGTATATGCAAATACATGTATATACATAGAAACATATGTGTATATATATACATATGTGTGTGTGTATATACATATATATATACATACATACATATATATATACACACATACATATATATATAGTATTTCCTTCATCTTTGTCAGCACAATTAGATGCTTTCACAATTAATCTGTAGGGAGGTTTATCCACCACATCTACATCCCAATTTGTGCAGTTCTGCAGTTCTAGACACTAGGTTTAAAAAACTACCCAAATTGTAAAAGAAAAACATAGAGTGGCTCACTTGGGCAGGAAGCCAAATTCAGCAGTGCTGATCCATTACTTAGGTCAATGGCATTGCTTGCTGACTTGCTTCAGTAACAGATGGTAAAAACTTGTTTAATTCATGCAGTTACTTGTTTAACCCATATTCCAGTAAATGCTGGAACAGGCCCATCAATCTCCATCAAATGTATTATATCCTTTAACTTGTGTAGTAAGGTTCTCAAATGAAATGTATGGATTTGTTCATTTTATGTGACAGCTTTGAACTCTTGTAAAGCTGAGATTGCTTTTGGCTTTTGCAAAATTCAGAGGTATCACAAAGCAGGTATAGGCATGGCCTTTCAAGAGAGGGGTATTGGATTATAGGTTTTCCAGTTTAGAGATTAAGGATACTGGTAAAAAATGTAGAGGAATCGTTGTATTGTGTCTGTTAAAGGTATTTGATCTTGGCAGTGTTTTATGAAAGGAACAGGAAGCTGACACTGATAACAAGCCACTCTCAACTCACTGCCCTGTTTGTGACATTCAGCCTCCTCCTGACAACTCCTGCTTTTGCCACCTGTTTCATTGCCATTAGCAAATGCTGCTTTTGTAAAACAGAAGCAGTTTTGTCTGTTTATGTTCATCTAGGTAATTAATTTTAAAATGGAGAATTAATAGTAAATCTAGTCATGCATTTTAAAATCAAGTTTAAGTTATTCACTGGTTTTTAACCTTTAGAAAATAAACATCTTTAGTCTTGCTTTTTGTTAAATGGTTACACAGAACTTACTCTTTTTCAGAAATGATACTTTAAAAAATTAGTTCTTATTGGACTATAAAAGTGCACTGTTTGAAAGCTGTCTTTCTATTATATACTCTAGGACTTATTCAATAAGATGTGACTTTGTAGAACAGGAAAAAAAGGATAAAAAATTTGTCAGATCTCAGTCTAACAAAATAATTTCCATTTCCAGCCAGAGAAATGCCTGCTTACTTTTCCATGTATCAATCCTTTGGTTGCTCAGTTTATGCTAAAGAAGGGATCTTCACTGAACAGGTTATTTCTTGCAAGCTTTGATCAACTCCAGGAACTTCTGCCACAGGCTCCAAAAAAAATTTTAAAGGTTGATGAAAATTGTTTTATGTACTGTATAAATTTTTTTGCTCTGTTATAATATGTGGTTGTTTTGATTTTTTTTTTAATCTGATGCTACATGTGCATTTGCTGGTGTCATTTAAAAATTAATTATAGGTTTTAGCATATCACTCATATCCCAAATGTTAAGTCTGCTGATTCTCAGCAGATTTTGTCAAGTCACCATTTTGTTTGTGGGAAGATAATGAGAGCCTTTCCGTAATTGGAAAAATACTCATTAGATCAGCTTCCTCCTCGAGCTTCACAATATTGAGTATTGTATGGTTTTGTGTATTTCTAATGTAAAAGATGTTTTCCTTCCTTCCTTCCTTCCTTCCTGCCTGCTTCCCTCCCTCCCTGTAATGCACCCACCACTTAGCATTCATAGCACTAAGTGTTTGACAGAGCCCTAGAGATGAAGAATTGTGTGCTCGTACTGTTCCTACTTTTGGGTCAAGTTTGGGAAAATTATAGACTGAATATAGTCATCTAATTCAATGAAAAATACACGTATTTAATCATTCAAGAAAATGGCTGAGGATGCCATTCATTTAAGGTGAAGCATTCCATTAAGGTGAAGGAGCAAGTGAACAGGTATTTGGACACTGGATGTGAAATTGTGCATACTATTGTTTTAACTGTAAATGTTTAAAGCCATCTTTATTGACAGAAAAAACTCAGTTAAATTCCTCTGTGATGCATGATAGCTGCCAATCCATTGCAGATACTGCTTCCTACAGTCTTGGAGTAATAAAGGAGAATAAATTGCATTATTAAGATATTGCTTCTCCTGTGTTTCAAGACAGATACTATTTCTTAATCTGTTTATAGATGTAAGACAGGTACATTGTGTACTGTACATGCCTCTCCCGCTTTGGTAAGGTGGTTTTTTTTTTCTTTCTTTTTTTTTTCTTTTTTTTTTTTTTTTTTGTTTTGTTTTTTGGTTTTTTTTTTTTTGTTCCAGTAAACAAAAATTTATATATCTCAGAATCTTAAGAACTGATTTAACTTCATGTACTTAGCAATGTAGACCAAGTAGCGATGTACCATCAACATTCCTGACAAATACTTTCTTTATCATTTCAGCATTTCAGTGACATAGTATCTTCATACAGCCTAAATACTGCTGCTCCTCTAGAAAAAACAGTGACAGGTGCATCACACACAGAAAACCAGAATAACTTCAACACATCGTATCTTGATAAAAAACAAAATTGTCAGATTTTAGAGCTGCTTGATAAGGCACAAAACAGTAGAGGTAATACCTTGAATTACTGGGAAAATATGTCTCCTTTGAAACAGATAAAAAATCTGAATGTATTACAATCTTTATCTTCTAGTCATGGTAAAGTCAGTTATTCTGATGAGACAGACTTTAATCACAATGCTCAATGACATCTTGGTTTCTCTGTAAAATGTAAAAAATAAGCTAATCTTTCATTCTCCATACAAAATGGTTCAAATTTTTCTCTACCAGGAACATCTCTTATGAATTCTGAAGCCCTAATTCCTCCACTGAATCTTCATAAGAGTTTTTTAAAGTCTGATCTTCCAAGTTGTATGCAAAAGAACGCATGCTCCTCAGACGTAATTACAAGGAGAAAGCTGGATTTCTCTGCTGTATCAAAGGACTGTGAAGATTTTGCTCATCTAGAAGTTAAAAATTCTCTCCATATTAAAAGACAGCCTTTCAGAATGCATGATAGCTCTGATCATGCTTCCAAAGACTCTGAAAAAGAGGATTTCTTCGCAGCTTTCAGTGACTGCGCACCTCAGGAGAGCTCTAGGAGTTTTCTAGATGAATTTAGAGACACAACATTTAAAAGCCTAAAAATTCAGACTGACCAGCCCCTGTGGAATGAGGGGCCTTCATCCACTGGCCCACGTAACTCATTTGTTCAAGATGGTTTTCTCTCTGATTTCTTTAATGATATGGATGAGCTTCCAAATCTGAATTTTAGCCAAATAGGTGAAACATCTAAAGGAAAGAGAAAACAAAGACCTTCATTCTTATGGACAAAAGAAAAAATTAAAACAGGTAGGTCCAAAGTAAGCTGAAGATTTTGCTGAAATTCTTTTTGTTACTCAACTGCAAAGTTGTAAGGAGTAAAACTGTATTTTATCTTTTTTTAAAATAGTTGTTAAATTCAGCCCAACAATTGCATGCTCCCTTTGCTAAAACTTACTTGCATATGTATCTCTTCTGTGATAAAAGATTCCTTACAGGTTTTGTTTTGAGCATAAGGATGTCTTGGTGTATTAAAAAAAAAAAAAGCCAAACCAAATGAACTAGAATTGTGTTACTGCCATTATTTTTTCCTGGTAAATATTGAAAAGCGTAGTTCTTCAATTGTATAAGAATCAGCTTCTTTTCTTTCTGACAGTGCCTAAAATATAGATAATGAACATGCCAGAATTAATTTAAAAGTTATGGGGAATATTATTTTGTAAACATAGATTTAGACAAAAGATTGTATGTTCTCCATAGGACAAAAATTAGATTCAGCAAATCTTGAGTGAAATTCAGATTCTACTAATGGCTGTATTTTGCTCTTGGCACTAATAGAGTAAAAATGGCACTCTGAAAATCTTTTAAGTTTGTTTCATAAACTTACTTATTCTTGGAATATTTTTTAGCTAGTATCTCCAGGAGTAAACTCTCCACTTGAAATAATTCCAAAGCTTATATTTTCAAAGAGATGGTATGATGTGTACTTCAAAACTTTGCTTGCCCTGAAAGTGCATTCATACTTTTTGTAAAGGTTAAATATAATTTCCTTACAATAACTTGTTTTGAATAAGCAGCTTCTCAAATAACATTATTGTAAAAGCATTTGAATCTTAAGAATGTAAGTAGCTTTTTAAAACAACTTAGAAACATGACTATGCCTGGTTAAAAAGAACTAAATTTCAACAACTATAGAATAATTCTAAGTGTAGTATTAATGAAATAGAAATAAATGTTTTTGAAATATTGTGGTTAAGTATAGGTTGATTTATTTATTTTTGTATGAGGTCCCATATTCCTATTGCAGACAATATGCATAAAACAGGCCAGTAGCAATAAGAAGTAGCAAATACTAATCTATACACATTTTATTTTATGACAGCTGATACTTTTTTTAGGGAGCACACCAGTTAAAGCCAAAGTCTGCTACTGCTTCTGAGAAGCACACAGTTAAGTCTGCATACATGCTGTATTTATCATGGTTTTTCTTTTTTCCACTTCTTTTTCAGATTCAGGATTTTCAGAAGTACAGGCATTCAAAAAAAGGAGATTGACATATGAAAGAGTCCCTGGAAGAAGAGATGGACAAACACGTCTTAAATTCTTTTGAACAGAATGAGGATTTGCATATTACATACTTTTTTCTTTTTTCATTCTTGAACTCTTTAAAGAGAAATAAATTAATTCTTGTTGTTAGTTTTTAGAAAGTAATTAGGATTTGGAAATTCTTACTAGCTCAGGGTTCTTCTGTATGTTGTTAAAATGTTGCTAAACAAACTAGTTTCTTGAAGCTGGATAATTAGGGCTTCTCTGTTATCATGGGTGATATACAGCTACTTTATCACTCTTTATGTTAAAAAAAAAAAAGGAAAAAGAAACAGATGCTGAGGCTCACTCTGGATTTTCGAGGCAGCTGTGTTTGTTCCCTGAGTCTGCTGCTTTTCCAATGTAAAGATGGGCTAGATCTGCCAGAATATCAAGGCATCTCAAGGCTTCTCAGTCTTAGAGATTTCTTGCAGTTACAGCTGTGACTTTTTGTAGCTGTCCCTTGGGCTCTGTTCCACTTCTCTTCTTCTGACAGCTTCTTCAGGAAGAGTAAGTTCCTGAGCTCCTTTTAATCATAATCAGTCTATGAAAAAGCTCTTTGTTTTATGGACAACATGTTAAGACTGTGTTGAAATTTAGCATTCTCATGGATTTGATTCAGGGGACTAAGCAGTGACCCTCACCCTTTGCATAACCTGCTGGAGGCCATTTGTTGGCATCTGTGTTTTTCAGCCTTCTGCAGGGCATTGGCAAGTAGGGGAATGAAAGTTATCTGGGAGGCAGATCCACATATAGGGTACAACTAGAAAGGGGTGAAAGATTGAATTTAAAAAAAAAATCTATCTCAGTTGTAATTAAAAAATGGTGTAGAATAGTACCCAAACCTTCACTTTCTGTCAAAAGATTTGGCAACAAAACTGCAAGTATGTGTGGAAGCAATGGTAGACAGTAACTCCATTTTGCCACAGGAACGCATAAATGGTTTGCACTGGCATGCCAGCCAGCTCCAGAATGTCTCTCTGTTCAGTGGCCTTCAGCTGAGGTTATTCAGGTTTCAAACTCTCTAATTGTCTTAAGTTTGATGTAGTAACAGAAATATAGGGGGTGGGGGGGAAGTAGTAAAAAAAACCCCACCAAGTTTAAGGTTTATGCTTGCACTTAAATACTTACTTGACATAAAGCCTTCATTAAGCACGTATTCACTATCTGAGTAAATGAAACCAGCACTTAGGGAAGAAAGATTTGGTCTCTCAGAGAAAACAAGAGTGCAATTTTTTGACTGAATTCTAAAAAGCTGTAACTGCACTAATGGCAATTTTAGTTCACAGTAATATTCCTGAATTATTTGTACACTGATTGTTTGCAGGTTTTAAGAAAATACCTTTCACAAGTGGCAATATAAAAAGATTTCTAGTAAAATTACAACAAGCCACTGTTCCCTAGAATAAGAGAAAGACTGAAATGAAAGTTGCAATTTGCTTACTATCCATGGCCCATTTTTGTGGTCACCTGACCTAACCATTTTACTTCTTTTGCATCATGGGTTATGTTGTTCAGAAGTACCTCCCAAAAAAACAGGAATCTGGGGGTTTTTTTGAAAAAAAGAAAAAAGCTCTACAAAGAGCTCTACGAAGCCTCAGTCACAGATGACCACAGTTTGACAAAATTATAGCTGCCGGTGCCAAGCTATGTATTTATGTTCTCCGCTTCCACAGGCAAAGGCTGACACCAGAACTTCCATGTGAAGAGTTGTGAAAGCATAGCATAGATAATCTGTAGATAACTTCGAAAAAAAAGATATGTTGTGTACATTAAATGAAAAAATTCAAGTGCTGTCTGTGTTGAGTTTCCATTAGGTAGGAAAAATGTCAGTATACAGTTAAATTACTGATAATGTAGTGGGAAATTAGGGAAAGGGCTTGCAATGACTATTGGTTTTTACTGTTTTTGTTTATGACAAATCTCAGTCTCTCAAAAATACGGACACATTGACAAATTTTACATTTGACAAAATTGACATATTTGACAAAATATGGCATTCTTCCCCCTTCTTTTGTCTGTTTAACGTGGAATAAAATTACTGGTGAACTACAATGATGCCCTTCCGCACTCCCCCTCCTTCTACCCAACACCCACCCTGCCAAATTACCTAATTCATTATTACCTGTGAATTAGGAGACAACTAATTCTTAGACAAAAAGGCACAGTACAAAAATCTAATCTCCAGTCTTACATAAGCAGGTAGGGACACTGCATTCCTGGAACAAGTTTGTAAACATTTAGAGACCAGGCAGGAGGCAGCTGTTGATGGACAAGAGCCATGCTGATCAGCCAGGAGAGAGGACAGTGAGAAAAGGGGGTTTGTGTCTCATGCGAGAGGCTGAGCATATGAATGTGCACACTCACTCAATCTTCTTTACCCGGGGTGTCCTGTAGTACCTGCTGCCATCAGATGGTATCTGCACAGCAGATAGCCCTCTTGGATGGTCTTTGGTAAAGGAAGCTGAGAGACTGCACACAGCTGCCCACCTGAAGTTGCTCCAGCTGCAAGAGACCAGATGGAGTTGGGCAGGGCAGCCAAGAGACAGCAGTGGTTGACTGGCTGTCTAGCAGTGGTGGCTTTCTGCTGCACACTGTGATTTGGCCACTCCTTGTGCCAGCTCAGCAGACACTTCAAAACCCAAGCTCAAAGTAACACTGCTGAGCCTGAAAGCATAATTACTTAAAAAAACAGGGGCTCTGGGGAGGGAAACAGATGTGGAGATGTGGAGATGAGGGGAGGTTTTATCACAAGAGGGAAAAGAAATATGAAGGGCTTGCCTAGAAGGAAGTAGGCAGCAGCCAAGTGTTGGCTGTCCAAAGGCTTTTGACTCATCAGTATCTTTGACAATTTGGCTTCAAACCAAGCCTCTGCTGGCCTCTGTGCAACAGTAACTTGGTTTTCTCTAGACTTTTGTACCTGTGTCCGGAACAGAAAAACTGCCATACTTAAATAGCCTACAGCGAAAGGAAGTCAGAGTGAAGAGAAGCTCTGAAGGAAGGATGTTCTCTTCTGTATTTAAAGACACAACACATACTGGCACTATTGCAGCTTTCACATTGGTGTCTTTCTGCAGGACAGCAATACGAAAATATTTGACAAAGACCGAACTGACTGGAGGACACTGTTGCTCCATTTCAGTTAACATTCATGAACATTAAGTACTCAGATTATGGAGTTCTTCCTTACAGCTTCAAAATGTATAAGCGAGCCTCATAACATTGTTAGTATTTACAACTATGGTCAACAGATATGAATGGGATTTTTCTACTAATAATATACAGTTGCTAAAAATCTAACACCACCCATCTCTTCCCAAAAGAGCAAAGAGCTTGAGGCATTCACTCCCACTGCAAAATCCACGTATCATCTTCTTTACAGTAGCTGTTCTTTGTTAGAATTACACAATGAGTTCAAAGCCAAGAGGGATAGGAATTTTATTTCCAAACTTCTAAAAGATTAATACAAACAATAGGAAGTACACAAAATTAAAAACCTATTAAAAAAGTTGTTCTTGTAAAAGTGCTCTATCAAAAAAGTGAGGGTAAATGACCAACCACATTTTAGTAAATTCCGTGTATTGCAAACCGTGACAACAGTGCATGCAATTATCTTTGGGTGTTCACAGATTCTTAGTGTCTGTTTGGTAACATTTCAAATACGTCAAGAAAATTCCACCAGCAGCAGTACTGTTACAAATACAAAGTAGAAGAAGGCTTACAGATAAAAAGTATTGCAAGAAACATGCTTTAGGAATCAGGCCTCTGTTACATATTGTGTTCAGCAGTTACTAAAATGTGTCATTTATGCACTGAGATGTCCTTGAAAAAAAACTAAAGTTGGTTTCAGGTCTTGCTGATGGAAGCAAAATGTCCCCTGTGGACATTACTTCAGCTCTAACAGCATTTACCTTTATACATTAATTATTCACTTTTAGGTTGTTTTATTTTGGAAAAAAAATCCCCATGAGTAGTTTTTGCTATTATTCCGATGTTACAGTTTATCAAGAACAGAGTAAGTAATTTGATTAAAAATTCACATGTTTTTCATTTCTAAAATGTAAACTTCTCAAGTAATATTTGTATAGTTAGCATAGTGTAGTAAAAGTGGTGAAGATTATGAAAAAACAGTTACATTAAAAAACTTCAAGAACATTACTAAAATATAGTGGAATACAGATTCACAAGAACACACAAACAGATATCCAGGATTCTGTTTTAGCCACATAAAAGACAGAGACTTTTCTTGTGAAGGAAAGGTAGTTGTTATTCATGTCATGCTTGCAGACAATCCTCCAATGACCTTCCCTAAAAGAAGAAAAAGAAAGGCTTATTAAATGCCATTTTCTTATGCTGATAGATGCAATTTCTCTTATAAATTACAACAGAAAAGCTCCTTTGCACGGAGAAAAACCAAATAATGACTTTCCTTTGCTGAATGTTGATATCCTCACAATATCATAAAATTTTTAACTGGCTTTTTTACTTTGCTCTGAATTTCTTATGATCCTAAGGTAACACAAGAATAATAAACTAAATTTTGATCTGCCAGCAAAAAGTACCAAATGACATCTTGGGCTGAGTTATGCATTTTTAAAAGTATGGTAAATTAATCATCAAGTTCTTCTGAGAAAATACTTTGTAATGTATCTGTATGATGTGATCATCTCAGAACATACACAGAACCCCCAGAAAATCAAAAAGTAGAAAGGCTGCTTAAATAACAGAAGAACATATGAAATGGTATTAAGAATTTTATCTTATTTGCATGAAGAATTAGAGGTAGCACCCAAATTAAGAAAATCTGCTTTTGCTTCACCCTCTCTGAATTTTTCCAGAAGAGCATCTCACATTCAGTTGTTCCCTTTCTTTAGGTTCAATCCTGTTTTGTTAAACCTATGTAGCAACAATGAAAGCCATGCTATCGATGAGGCAAAAACTCAGGTGCAAGCCCAGGACAGTTAGCAGCAGCAAGGGGAAGATTTTATGAGTACTTTATGTTCTAGCTTAAGTTCTGCCCTTTGA